CTACTTTGTCACAACACAACTGATTGGCTCATTAAGAAGGAAATAAATTCCACAAATTAACTTTTAAGAAGGCACACCTGTTAATTGAAATCCATTCCAGGTGACTACCTCATGAAGCTGGTTGAGAGAATGCCAAGAGTGTGCAAAGCTGTCATCAAGGCAAAGGGTGGCTATTTGAAGAATCTGAAATATAAAATATATTTTGATTTGTTTAACACTTTTTTTGGTTACTACATGATTCCATATGTATTATTTCATAGTTTTGATGTCTTCACTATTATTCTACAATGTACAACATTTTTAACAAATAAAGAAAAACCCTTGAATGAGTAGGTGTCCAAACTTTTGACTGGTACTGTATATTTATTTTTTTATACTCCGGACTCCGACATTGCTCATCCTAATATTTCAATATTTCTTAATTCCATTTTTTAAACTTTTAGATTCTTGTGTCTTGTTGTGACCATCAGTAACATCAGAGAGCAGTTTTGGAGAAGCCTAGTTACCCTGACTAAACGGTCACATGGAATTTGACTGCGGTCATGACTTGTGACCCGGTGTGGCGGTAATCTGGTCGGTCACATTAACAGCCCTAGACAGACAGATAACCTGTCTGCTGATAACAGCCCATCACTTTATAACCACATCTCACTTCCCTATGTTTCTTTGTGTTCTATCTTAACGTCTGCCCGTCTTCTTCCTCAGTACCTGAAGCAGCAGAGTAGTAAAAGCACACAGGAACACAAACAGCCAGACCAGGGTTAGACAAACGTTTAATGGCTCAGGGGCTTTGATCTCTGATGCTGGACAGAGTAACAGCAGAAAAACATATGTCCATAATATTCATACTATATCTTACAGATTCACTGGGCCAGCTGAATTTGTCTTCCTTTTCTTCAGTGTAAAGGCTAACAATACAATGTTTCACAAAACATTCCTAATGCCAATATTTATAACAATGCTATAGTATAACAGGGCTCTCCAACCCTGTTCCTGGAGAGCTACCCTCCTGTAGGTTTTTGATCCCGCCTCAGTTGTAACTAACCTGATTCAGCTTATCAACCAGCTAATTATTAGAATCAAGTGTGATAGATTAGGGTTGGAGTGAAAACCTACAGGACGGTAGCTCTCCAGGAACAGAGCCCTGGTACAACAGATTCTATAACAATAAATAAATAAAAATTATTCATGTTTATTCATACATACATCTGCATGATAGTTTCTAACGACTTTCAGGACTCTAATTGTCAAAAGTTAGACATTTAAAAACAGTATTGTACCTACATTGGGTACAGTATGTTATACATACCTTGGGTGGTGAATTGCATCGTAAATAATATTGTTTACATTCCTCGACTAGCCAATCATAATAGTATCCACACTGTCCTTCTGACATAGCAATACACTACAAGACAATCAAGAATAAGATCTGAAATAGACCCTAAAATGGTGTATTTTCCAGTTTCAGTGACTGAGATTGACTGGGCAGTTATGGGGGCCTGGTTTTAAAAGAGAATACACAATATGTAAATACACTCTAAAAATTAGGGGTTCAACAAGGGTTCTTCTAAGATCCTCAAAGTTCTTTGAAGAACCTTAGGGTTCTTGGCACTGAAAATTATCCCCAAAAGGTCCTTCCAAGAACCCCATAGGAGGTGGGGTTCATCGAGGAACCTCGATGGGGGTTCTTGCAGGAACCTAACTGCCGAACTGAAACATTGAGATTGGAATTTGAAAGGACAGCATGTGCAGGCACTTAACTGAAAAATGTAAAGATCTTCTAAATGTAAGGAAAGGTTTGTCCCTTATATGATCTAAATTGATATTGTTTTGTGATGATACCATCTATCTTTTCATATGTGCAAACCTTTCTAAAACAGAAAATGGACACAATTAAATGGGATATCAATCAACAGAGGTAAGAATATGTACTGTATGCTAAAAGTATATGTTGAAGGCTAGGTGTATTGGGTGCAGATTACTGAACTGCTCACTTTTGTGTCTGTCTGCAGGTATACAGACAAGGAGGCATACAAAGGCATGTCAATTGGTATTGGTATGTTATGCAGATCACATGTACCATCCTCCCTTACCTCTTCAATGCAAATCCCATAGGCCTCTACATTATGGACAAGGACTTTGGATGAAAACCATAATCAAAAGTTTTTTTCATTCACATTTAACACAAAAACCAAGGTATGAATACTGTCATGTGCATGTTTTGTTAACATCTGTATAATTACTCTTTTTAGGATTCACAGACTTCCCCCTTCCTACACCTCTGATGAATATAACATATATAACCTGTTCGATCACCATGCACTGCAAAATCATTCTGGTTACGGATACGGAGAACATCAACATGCCAGAGGATATACCCATTGGACTTGGGGCTCTGCTGGGAGTTTACCTCATATTTTGATTTTTTTTTATTCTGCTTTGCCACTAAAATCATAATAAACACAAACTAAAATATTGTGTTATTGTTATGCGTATTATTATTAATAATTAGAATAGGGGAGGGAGGTAGTTCAAAAATTAACCCCAAAAGGTTCTTCGAGGATCCATTAAAAGGGGTTATTTGAAGAACCCTTTTAAAGGGTTCTTCGAGGGAACTTATAGGGGTTCCCCCACAGTTTCAATTTGAAGAACCCCTAAAGGATACTCCAGGAACCGTTTCTTTTTAGAGTGTAATGTAGGGGAAGTCCCTGTGCCACACAGAGACTGGTGAGATTTCAGAATGAGAGAGGAACTACACTCACAGCAGGAGGGTGTTACTCATCACACAAAGTAGGTAAATATAAATGTACATTAAATGTAAACAATTAAAGTAATTATCCAGTGAAAATCTAACTTTTAAAAGTTCACATTGTTAACTCGTACCCAATTAAGGTTGTTGACTCATTCTATACTCATGTGGCCAAAGCATAACTTGGAAGAAAAAAAACAAACATTTAAACCCCTCAAACAGACAAAATGCTTGCTATTTCCTCAGTGTGACATACTCCTGAGGAAGATGAGCTGGCCAATCAGAGGTCTAGAGGAGGATGAGCTGGCCAATCTGCAGTCTACCTGTATAAATATTTTTTATGACCAATACATGGCCACACCATTCTGTTGTTGGGGTATGCCCACACCATTCCAACACAGAAAAGCTGCTTTTTAACATGACTAACATTTTTGGAAGGAAAACAATTTCACTCATATTGTAAGTACTTGCATTCTAAGTATATTAATGTGAGCTAAACACACAAATAAAACCAAATATGTTAAAACATTTTCCTTAGTGTAATTTTTAGGGCCTCCCGTTCCTTCGAATGAGTTCCTAATTCCATTAGTAAGACTGTTGGAAACCTTCCTGACAACACTGCAGATCCCTTTGTTCTTTAGTTCGGCCAAGCCAACGTCATCCTCCTCCAGTGGCACCTCAATGTTCCACCAACCAGAACACCCACCAGATGAGACTGAGGATGATTATGACGTGCCCTGCATAGAGGACTAAATTGTGGCAGAATATGTCTGCAACCACCCAGTCAGCAATATGAACACTCCCACTATTTTGTGGCCGACCGCAAACCAAAAAGGCATTTACAGCTGCCAACTCCACGATAAGTCCTCTCCGCAACCTCCACTTGAACAACCCAGTTTGATTTTAGAAAGGCAAACATGGCCTGTAAGGATGAGGCAGCAGCTGCACATGTTATCTCATCAACAATAGCCTTGTCATCTGACACCAACAGACCACTGTATTCTGACTGATTTCACCGTGGTAAACACCCCTCAAGGCTAATGCATCAGGAACCACACACACAACATATATTGCCTAATTTAGTTGGTTTGCATTACATACAAATCTTATGTACTCATTAAATATTGACAGTGAGCCCATTGTGCTTAACAAATGAGAAGACAAGAAATATACTGTGGTAATATTTATTATTTTAAATTTACAAGTCGAGCTTAAAACAAAATATGATTTTGAACAAAACCCTTTAAATGGGGCAGACAAAGACAATTGCAGCTCCTTTGGGTTTGTCCTTGGATCAACTGATGTTGACAGTTCTATATTTATAAACCAGTCCTTTATATCAGTGTGATGAAGTCAGAGTTCCATGTAGAGAAAGGGGGAGTAATACACGGACAGTAATGGAGAGGAAGTAGAGCTGTTCTCCACAGAGTTGACATGACAAAACAGACATCAAGATTGAGGCACTTGTCTTTTCAGTCTTTGTGCAGGACTTTTCACAGCCTTGGTCAGTTTACCTTTTCTTCTCAGACCCTTTCCTCCTGTTGGGTTGGGTGCCTTCTCAAGTCCGTTCTTGGTCGGCTCCTACAGGGATCGGGGAGAGGAGCAATCAATTAGCACAGTACTGAGAGGAGTCTTCTGTAGATACATTTTAGTCATTTAGCAGACACTTTATCCAGAGCGACTTACAGTTAAGTGCATTAATCTTAAGACAGCTAGGTCGGACAACCACATCACAGGCATATAAAGTACATTTTTCCTCAATAACGTAGCTATCAGTAGAGACAGAGCTAGAAGGGGGTCAAGTGCTGGTTGAGTTTTTTTTTTTTTGGAGGGAGGGGTCAATGTGAGGAGGAGGACTATTTAAAAAGGTCCAGTTTGAAGAGGTAGGGTTTCAGAAGATGGGCAGGGACTGCTGTCCTAGCTTCAGGGCGAAGCTGGTTCCACCATTGGGGTGCCAGGACAGAGAAGAGATTGGACTGATACAAAGAAGTGGGTCAATTAACCTCCACAGTCTATCAGTGTTCCCAGAGAGTGAACAGGGAGACAGCACAAAAAGGATACCGCTCCCCTGCCTCACTGGAATGAGGTTCATATAGCACTGGATTTATACCAAAATTCATACAGAGTGAACCAGGTTCCGAACCAGTGCACAGACAAGTCTTCAAATACGTAATTTGACAAAAACAAATTGATCAACTAAAAATACAATCTAATATTAAACTGCATTTGGTTTGACACGTGTGGTACAGACCTCCAGTTTAGCCTTTTTGCTTGGCGTTACTATCGGAACCAGCTGTGGAATCTGTTCCTCCACCTTAGCACCTGTGTTTTTTTCTGTAGACTTCGGTTCCTTCTTAGCAGACTTCTGTTTGCTTGCATTTTTCTGAAATTGACAAACAAAAGTTGCAGGTATTCATTATGAGCAGGAGGATGTGGGATCCAGCTCGTTCGTGCGTGCATATATCTGATATTGACTTCCATAGTCAATATGTGGCACAAGGAGCTATGTTGATGTTCCCAGAGAGTGAACAGGGAGACGGCACAAAAAGGATACCGCTCCCCTGCCTCACTGGAATGAGGTTCATATAGCACTGGATTTAAACCAAAATTCATACTGTGAATGAACCAGGTTCCGAACCAGTGCAAAGACGCGTCCTTTGATAGATTTAATTTGACAAAAATAGATAATTGATCAATTTACAATATAATCTTAAAATACTGTTTACAAGCAGTTGTGTGTGTAGCAATCCTACCTTGGCGTCCATGGCTGCGCGGGCCTGTTTCTGTGTCTCCTCTAAGATGGTCAGGTGGTTCATGTTAGAGGTGTAGATGGGCAGAGCCACTGATGACTGGCTCTTCAGGTGGATGATCTTTATCAATGGTCCTTTCTGCAAAGAGGCAAGATGGTGGCCATCTTTAGTCTCAAACATAAACGAATCTGCGAAAGGAACCTTTTCAATGGTACTGCCAAACAGTATTGCTATGCTGTGTATCGCATCTCTGATTGTGGCCACTTGTCAAAGGCCTTTCTTTGTGGAGGTGGGGTGGGGTGTAGGCACATGGGTTTAATCACACTGCTATAAAGAGCAGGCAATAAGCTTAACGTACCTCAGTACTATAGGCCCAGTAATCTCACCCCAGACAACAGCTATCCAAGGCGATTTTCAGACTGGGCCCAAACATTTCTTCAACATTGAGTATACCGGACTATTTAACGTATAATAAAAGTGTAAATATCTGTAGTGACTGGATACAATTAATTAGTGAGCTCAAGAGGATCCCTGGCAGCAAACTCACCATGCGTAGTTTGGTCACGATGGTGGTAACAGCTGATTCGATATTCTCGGCTATTTCATCTGCAGCCATCCCAGAGTGGGCCACACGAGCCATGCTAAAACAATCAATTACATGATACAAGAGGTAGTGTGTGAATGAATTAAAGTATATGAACAAACTAACAATGTTAGACACTTGCTATTTTGTGTCAAAGTTGTAGAGACAGGCTCCAATAGAGAGGGAGGTCCGTCTGGATATACTTCGAGTCACTATGGCACCATCATTGCCCATGGCCAACACAGACAGGAGGACAGGGTTTGCTGGGGTGCACTTATTCATCAAGTCAAGCTGGGAGCAGGCCTCACCAGCAGCAGCCTTTCTTAGAAATTGAGATGATTGTTCCCTGGATGGTTCTCTGGATGTCCAAGGCCAGCTTCTTGCTCTGCAGGTTCACTGACAAAGGCTCCCTAAGCAGAGGAGAGAACACACTCCATTAGATTAGAACTCCGGAAGGGCAAGCTTGAAGGCACATTTCAACTTAAATGTGATTTGAATCATTTCAAAGCCAGGGAACAGCACTAGGGGCTATGTTGATTACATTTACATTTTAGTCATTTAGCAGACGCTCTTATCCAGAGCGACTACAAATTGGTGCATTCACCCTATAGCCAGTGGGATAACCACTTTTTTTTTGGGGGGGGGGGGGGGGGGGGGGGGGGGGGGGTAGAAGGATTACTTTATCCTATCCCAGGTGTTCCTTAAAGAGGTGGGGTTTCAAATGTCTCCGGAAGGTGGTGATGTTCCCAGAGAGTGAACAGGGAGACAGCAGAAAAATGATACTGCTCCCCTGCCTCACTGGAATGAGGTTCATATAGCACTGGATTTAAACCAATTCATACTGCGAGTGAACCAGGTTCCGAACCAATGCAAAAATTAGTAAATAGATTTAATAATTCGACTAAAATAAAAAAGTTGATCAACCAACAGAACATATTTACATTATTTACAAGCATTTGTAGGCTTACTTCTTCCTCTCATAAAAGTGCTTGCCGATGTGTGAGGACAGCAGGCGGCGGATACGGTCGTCTGACAGGAACATGTCAAAGTTCCCCAGCAGCCGTCGTTTGGCCTCAAAGGGCTTGTACTCTGTCCTCAGCATTTTGTAAGGGATCACCTATAGAAAGACACAGGGATATGCCTGGGTGAGTCCAGTCTCATGCACCAACAAGTAAACAAGGACCATATCAAAAATGACAAGCACTGATTATCATTATTGCATGTGTACACAGTAGGTAACTGTGTCAAAGTTGTAGAGACAGGCTCCAATAGAGAGGGAGGTCCGTCTGGATATACTTTGAGTCACTATGGTACCATCATTGCCCATGGCCAACACTGACAGGAGGACAGGGTTTGCTGGGGTACACTTGACATTGGATGACTAAACACTAGCTACAGACTACAGTAAATCTGTTGGAGATGCATTGGAGGATGAGGTAAGAGCTTCGGGTGTATAGAAAAGCATTATATAGAGTTAGATAGATAAGATAGAGTTCAATGTGTCAAATCGGAGGGCCCGTTGTCTGGACCTCTGGCCTTCTCTATGGGCGTGGCACAGGGTTCAATTCTCGGGCCGACTCTATTCTCTGTGTATATCAATGATGTCGCTCTTGCAGCTGGTGACTCTCAGATCCACCTCTACGCAGACGACACCATTTTGTATACGTCTGGCCCTTCATTGGACACTGTGTTAACAAACCTTCAAACGAGCTTCAATGCCATACAATACTCCTTCCGTGGCCTCCAACTGCTCTTAAACACTAGTAAAACTAAATGCATGCTCTTCAATCGAACACTGCTTGCACCCGCCTGCCCTACTAGAATCACTACTCTCGGCGGGTCTGACTTAGAATATGTGGACAACTACAAATACCTAGGTGTTCCAGACTCACATTAAGCATCTCCAATCCAAAGATACATCTAGAGTCGGCTTCCTATTTTGCAACAAAGCCTCCTTCACTCATGCCCTCGTAAAACTGACTATCCTACCGATCCTTGACTTTGGCGATGTCATTTACAAAATAGCTTCCAACACTCTACTCAGCAAATTGGATGTAGTCTATCACAGTGCCAAATTGGATGTAGTCTATCACAGTGCCAAAGCCCCATATACTACCCACCATTGTGACCTGTACGCTCTTGTTGGCTGGCCCTCACTACATATTCGTCGTCAAACCCACTGGCTCCAGGTCATCTATAAATCACTGCTAGGCAAATCCCCGTCTTATCTTAGCTCACTGGTCACCATAGCAACACCCACCCGTAGTCTGCGCTCCAGCAGGTATATCTCACTGGTCATCCCCAAAGCCAACACCTCCTTTGGCCGCCATTCCTTCCAGTTCTCTGCTGCCAATGACTGGAACGAACTGCAAAAATCTCTGAAGCTGGAGACTTATCTCCCTCACTAACTTTAAGCGTCAGTTGTCAGAGCAGCTTACCGATCACTGCACCTGTACACAGCCTTTCTGAAATTAGCCCACCCAACTACCTCATCCCCATATTGTTATTTATTTGCTAATTTGCACCCCAGTATCTCTATTTGCACATCTATCATTCCAGTATTATACAAAATTGTAACAATTTTGCACTATGGCCTATTTATTGCCTTGCCTCCATAACTTACTACATTCGCACACACTATATATATTTTCTGTTGTATTTTTGACTTTGTTTTGTTTACCCCATATGTAACTGTTGTTTTTTTCGCACTGCTTTGCTTTATCTTGGCCAGGTCGCAGTTGTAAATGAGAACTTGTTCTCAACTGGCTTACCTGGTTAAATAAAAAAAATATATATATATAAACACAATCAATAATAATTATTATTTAGTAATACCTCTGTGACGTTCTTGACCCCTCTATCGGCCAGCAGTTTCTTGTAGAACCTCTGGGTCTGGTCAGGGGTCATGTTGGGCTCGTCTCTGGTGAAGAGACACACCTCGTCTGTGTTGGTGCGGATGCCATGAGGCAAGGGGCTGAGGGAGAAACAGAAGACTTGTGGTTATTATCAGACAGTTTTACCACCTATACTCCAGGACAGGGGGTTGCTTGGTCCACACATTCAACTTACTTTTCCATAGCTATGCATGTATTATGTAACAGTGTTGGCAGAGGGACTCACATGCGGATGGTCTGGGCCTGCTTTGGAATCTTCCATAGCGTAAAGAGGAGGGATATGTGTTGACTCTCGTCCAGGAGCAGAGAGTCTGGGGTAGACTTCGTCTTCTGAAAAGCCTGCAGTGCTTGAACAGCCTTCTTTACCTGGGAACACAATGAGAAGTTATGAAGAAATAGCAAATACCCTGACAAATTCACATTTCGGTCATTTTGTTCAAATAGACACACTGATCAAATGCAAATAAATAACTTAGCAAAGCTAATGAGGCTGGTTAAATTGTCCTGAGCAAGAGTCAGTTCAGGTGAGAAAACTAACAATAGTTAAATAACATAAGTTAGCTACAACTTTTTCACTTTTAGTCAACAGAAGTTGGAGTAGTACAGGGTCGATATTTTTCCAATGGCAGTTTCACCAAGAACCAATTGAGGGAGGAATACACATCCTTGAAAATGTGTTCACAGCGTTCCCCGTTATGATAAAGAAATGAACAGTGACTTGCCTCGTGTTGCGAACTATCCGACTGCACAAGCTAACGTTAGCTAGCTTGTTAGCCAGCCAGCGAGTTGCTAGCTCCAGAGAAAGGGGTCTTACAAAATGTAACCCGCTGATATCACCCCGCTTTTCCTGGCACCCATTTAACTATACTTTTGTTAAAGAAGACCTTATCAAAGTGGTTTTTAGACATTACCTGCACCCGGTCCAGTGCCAAATCCTCCGGTTTGTCTGCCATGCTTCTTCACGTGTTTTATCCAGGCTGACGCATGCGCATATCGATTGGCCTACGTCACTCTTGAAATTGAAACGTCCCAACTTTATTTGCAAGCAGTTGGAGGACAATTCCAAAAGGTCGTCACTAGTTACCACAGCCACAACGTTATAAACCCCGCCTATTTCAACAATGTATTTTAAAATCTGATTTTAACCTAACCTTAACCTCAACCACACTGCTAACCTTATGCCTAACTGTAACCTTCAATTAGACACATTTTGACTTTGTGGCTGTGGTAACTAGTGGAAACCATTCCAAAAGGCTAAATTAACATTGTAAGAAATGGAGAATAAACAGAGCCTTTCATTATTTTTTTCTCAGTCTGATACTTTATTTTCATTGTTGTTGATTGATTGGTAACATGACAACACACGTTCACAACAGGAACCATGTTTGTTTGATTGTGTGAACATACCAGATTAGGATTTTGGTATGGGGATACCTACAACCAAAATATTACCATTTTGGTATAATATTTTGGATTTGAATGTGTATAACTAGCTAACTCTGGTCCAAACCTGATGCAACCAGATGCAACGCCAGTCCCTTCCTTTCCAAGCGAAGTAACAACGCAAACATTCCCATTTCCAAAACAAAAGGTAGACCAGCACAGAGTGAGGTTAGCCTGGGAAAGGGTAGTGGCTACATTAGTGGCATAGCTGAGCTCTCAATATGAGAAAGCTGACACACTGGACTTGTATTTCATTAATATTGTTCATCATAAAAACTGATTCAGTCACTTTTTAAAGTTTCCTCTTTATTTTCAAACATGATTTGTTCTCCTCCTCCTCCTCCTCCTCTTCTTCAGCAGATAGTGGTATGTAAGAAGGGGTGGCTGGCTAGGTAGGCATCAGCAGCTTCCTCCTCTTTCATGACAACTGTCCCAGGATTCCATGCTGCTTCACATTAGTCCTTCTCTGGTACCAGCTTCAGTACTTTGCCAATAGCAATGGTTTTGCCTGAAAAGGGAGACAATTACATAGTTATAAAAACCTTTAGTACTCCATTTGGCAATGGTTTTCTGGTTTGGCAAATTAATGTAAATAGAATATATCAAGTAGAAGCTTATTCATATTCATCAATAGAAACAAAACATGGTATAAAACAATACTACAGGAACGCACGCGCACACACACGCGCACACACACACACACACACACACACACACACACACACACACACACACTACCTTCGTCTCGTAGGGTGAACCTCCCCATCTGTGGGAAGTCTTTGAAGGTCTCGAGGCAGATGGTTCCGGCACAACGTAGCCGGGCGATGCACACCTGGTCCTGTTTGACAAAGCGAGGTCGCGTCTTGCTCTTCTCACCTGTCTTCTTGTCCACTAGACAGATTAAGGCCTGAGGAGAGAATTGACTTGAATACAGGATTATTTACTAATTAACATTATTCACTGACAGAGAAGATACCTGTGGTGGGCAGACTATACTTGGATAGAGACCTGGTCGGGTTAGGAGATGTTAACAAGCTAATGTAACTTAGTAACTCAATGTGATTAGGTTAGGCGATGTTAACAAGGTAATGTCAAATCAAATCAAATCTTATTTGTCACATGTGCCGAATACAACAGGTGTAGACCTTACAGTGAAACGCTTACTTACAAGCCCTTAACCAACAATGCAGTTTTAAGAAAAATAAGTGTTAAGTAAAACATTTATAAATAACAAATAATTATAGAGCAGCAGTAAAATAACAGTAGGGTGGCTATATACAGGGGGTACCGGTACAGAGTCAATGTGCGGGGGCACCGGTTAGTCGAGGTAATTGAGGTAGTATGTACATGTAGGTAGAGGTAAAATGACTATGCATAGATAATAAATAGAGAGTAGCAGCAGCGTAAAAGAGGGAGTTGGGGTGGGACAATACAAATAGTCCGGGTAGCCATTTGATTAGCTGTTCAGGAGTCTTATGGCTTGGGGGTAGAAGCTGTTAAGAAGCCTTTTGACCTAGACTTGGCGCTCCGGTACCGCTTGCCTTGCGGTAGCAGAGAGAACAGTCTATGACTAGGGTGGCTGGATTAGGTTAGGAGATATAAACAAGATAATGTAACTTAGTAACTCACTGTGATTAGGTTAGGAGATGTAAACAAGATAATGTAACTTAGTAACTCACTGTGATTTCTACTTCTTCAATACAGGTGTGGATGTGTAGGACTGCGTTGTAACCTGGGCAGATGATGGATTTATGTTCAATGATGACGATCTGAAAACAAAGTTTAAAAAAGTACTGGAGTTTACATATTTAGTCAACCCAACCTAGCATCACTATCATTTAGCATTTCTCTGATGCAGTGTATCTTTGTAAGCTAATCCTAGACAATAATAATATATGCCATTTATTTAGCAGAAGCTTTTATCCAAAGTGACTTACAGTCATGTGTGCATACACTGTACATTTTACGTACGGGTGGTCCCGGGAATGGAACCCACTATCCTGGGGTTGCGAGTGCCATGCTCTACCAACCGAGCTAAGACGACTTTAGACATGTCCTACCTGGGCGTCAAAGGTGCGTCCGGAGTGGCAGAGGTTCTCAGCGTTACAGAGGATGAAGCCAGGCAGAATCTCCTCTTCCTCGATGCCCTTCAGCCTTAGCTTCAGGTTCTCTCCAGGAACAGCTTCATCTGTCTCCACCTCGTCAGACAGCAGGCTCAGCACCTCCACTGTGTGCTGGGGGTAGGGATAACACATCACATGTATTATAGTGCTGTATATACACTGAGTATAAAAAGTCAGTATTGATGTCACTAAATCCACTTCAATCAGTGTAGATGAAGGGGAGGAGACAGGTTAAATAAAGATTTTTAAGCCTAGAGACAATCAAGACATGGATTGTGTATGTGTGCCATTCAGAGGGTGAATGGGCAAGACAAAATATTTAAGTGCCTTTGAACGGGGTATGATAGTAGGTGCCAGGCGCACCGGTTTGAGTGTGTCAAGAACTGCAACACTGCTGGGTTGTTCACGCTCAACAGTTTCCCATGTGTATCAAGAATGGTCCACCACCCAAAGGACATCCAGCCAACTTGACACAACTGTGGGAAGTATTGGAGTCAACATGGGCCAGCATCCCTGAGGAACGCTTTCAACACTGTGTATAGTTCATGCCCCAATGAATTGAGCCTGTTCTGAGGGTAAAAGGGGGTGCTACTCAATATTAGGAAGGTGTTCTTAATGTTTTGTACACTCAGTGTATATGCTATACAAGTACTATATTAGTAATCTTAAATCGCAAGATAAACTGGGGCTGGGAAGTACAACAATAGAACCTGAAGTAACATATTTAACACAGGTGCGTACATGTTGGAGAATCCAAAACTGTGCATTGTAATGTCTGGAGTCCCTTTCACAATTTACATTTTAATTATTTAGCAGAAGTTCTTCTGCAGAGAATCTGCCAAATGACTAAAAAGTGCATGTAAATTGTGAAAGGGACTCCTGTACACTTGTGTAATGTATACTCTCCAGGAGCAGGACAGATGACTGACTTGTGGAGAGCCTTACCCTGTTAGGCATCATGACCAGCTGCTGGGCTTTGGCAATAGAGCCGGACTCCAGCTTCCCCAGGATCACCGTGCCCATATCCTGAACACAGAGCACAACCAAGACCAGGTTAAAGGTTATTCTACCAGTTAAAGTCAGTGGCCTTGTGGTTAGAGTGTCCACCCTGAGATTGGGAGTTCGATCCCCGGCCGGGGTCATACCAAAGACTGTAAAAATGGGACCTGATGCGTCTCTGCTTGGCACTCAGCATTAGTTTGGGGGTAAGGCCCTGCGATAGACTAGCGTCCTGTCCAAGGGGTGTTGTACATGTACGTCAAGCTGCCTCACGCTACAGAAACAGAAGATAGGCTCCTATGAGCCGTTCCGGCTCAAAGCTACTTACTTACTACAAGTTAAAGGAAATGGTATTATTACACTACATCCTTTGTTTCCTTTCTCATCCTCTGTAACCCTCGGAGAGTGGGGTCAACGCCAGGGTCAGCGACCCTGGAGCAATTAGGGTTAAGTGCCTTGCTCAAGGGCACATCGACAGATTTGTCACCTTTTTCGGCTCGGGAAGAAGGGGTTCTGAGGGCGCTGCAGCACCTCCTGATAAATTGAAAAAATATTACATTTACATTTTAGTCATTTAACAGATATATATAATAATAGAAATACAAATAAATAAAATCGACAAAATCAGTGAACTAGGCCTTTATTACTCCTTTATTAGCGGAGAAAAATGCTAATCAGCACCCCCCCTCAGTTAAAGGAAGTGGTACTAAGGGCTAGGAAGGACACTGTAGTTTACTACGGTTCTGCTCACACTAGGTTAGTATAGAACATTTGCACTTATATAGAATGAATGAAAAAAACTAAAACGGATTCTGTCAAGGCGATTAGAATGGTTGTTTCCTTTCAATTCTATGCTCCCACTTAAGATGCCTTCATTGAGTGTACTAGCGTCTAGAGCTAAGCTGTTGATCCCCCTGACCTACTGTACTGTAGTGAAGATAGAACCACTGCCAGCTAGTCTAACAACCTAACCAGCCCCCAATTAACTGAACCGTAATCCCATTATATCAACTGAATACCAGACCTAGTTAGAGCTCCTGGGTTTCATAACACCCCTCTTACACAACCACAGCAGTGTGTGTGTGTGTGTGTGTGTGTGTGTGTGTGTGTAGAAGACCTGCTGAGAAAGCTATACAATTTCGTTCCCTTCCTTCTAACCTGTTCCAAAACACACGCTGGTGAAACCGGTGCCAGAAAGCTAAATTATCTTGTGGAGAAAATGGCTGTACTCTGATGTCCTTGGCTACAGTAGGGAGGACTTTGAAGGACACCCAGAACGGAACAGAGGGCCTCATCTGGACGTGATGTTGGAAGGCCAGCGTGTGTGTGTGTGTGTGTGTGTGTAGCAGCTGCACAATGCTGCATTAACCTTGTCTTTTAGCAGTCATTTCATAAACCTTTGTCAAACTCTGAGATAATGTATTCATAATGGATTATTAATTACTACAGAATAAGATGGCTTGGCTTGGTTCAAAATTATGCAAGTTATGCCGTTGAGTGCAATACAGAGCTAGAGATATGTAACTGGAATAACTCATGACAGCAGCTGAGCTCACCTTGTATTTGTCTACGATGGGTAATCTGACAGGGCCATCTGTGATTCTGTTGAAGCTTGGCAGGCTGTCCAGATGTGGGATGAATGGCAACCCCCTGGCAACAAAGAACAATTGGGACAATCAATTATTATCTTTTCTAATACTATATTTATGGATTTTCAATTATTATGGGAACAGAGAGAACTTTTATAGCTTCATAGAAGTCAGCAGAGCTGTTTTATGGAGGTGGATAAAATAAACATTGATTTGATGGACTGTTATGAAAATAAAAACTTGACAACCAACCGTCACTCAGCACCCACAAAGGGATTGACATTCATTTACTTTCTGCAGAGAAATGAGCGGAGGATGACTTACGTGTACTTTCTGCAGAGAACAGAGTGGGGGATGACTTACGTGTACTTTCTGCAGAGAACAGACCAGAGGATGACTTACGTGTACTTTCTGCAGAGAACAGAGCGGAGGATGACTTACGTGTACTTTCTGCAGAGAACAGAGCGGAGGATGACTTACGTGTACTTTCTGCAGAGAACAGAGTGGAGGATGACTTATGTGTACTTTCTGCAGAGAACAGAGTGGAGGATGACTTACGTGTACTTTCTGCAGAGAACAGAGTGGGGGATGACTTACGTGTACTTTCTGCAGAGAACAGAGCGGAGGATGACTTACGTGTACTTTCTGCAGAGAACAGACCAGCGGATGACTTACGTGTACTTTCTGCAGAGAACAGAGTGGAGGATGACTTACGTGTACTTTCTGCAGAGAGCAGAGTGGAGGATGACTTACGTGTACTTTCTTCAGAGAACAGAGTGGGGGATGACTTACGTGTACTTTCTGCAGAGAACAGACCAGAGGATGACTTACGTGTACTTTCTGCAGAGAACAGAGCGGAGGATGACTTACGTGTACTTTCTGCAGAGAACAGACCAGAGGATGACTCTGAGGATGACTTATGTGTACTTTCTGAAGAGAACATAGTGGAGGATGACTTACGTGTACTTTCTGCAGAGAAGAGACCGGAGGATGACTTATGTGTACTTTCTGCAGAGAACAGAGCAGAGGATGACTTACATGTACTTTCTGCAGAGAACAGAGCGGAGGATGACTTACGTGTACTTTCTGCAGAGAACAGAGTGGAGGATAACTTACATTTACATTTACGTCATTTAGCAGACACTATTATCCAGAGCGACTTACAAATTGGTGCATTCAATTTATGATAGCCAGTGGGACAACCACTTTTTCTTCTTTTTTTATGGGGGGTGGGGGAGGGGTAGAATGATTACTTTTATACTATTTTATACTATTCCAGGTATTCCTTAAAGAGGTAGGGTTTCAAGTACTTACGTGTACTTTCTGCAGAGAACAGACCAGAGGATGACTCGGAGGATGACTTACGTGTACTTTCTGCAGAAAACAGAGTGGAAGATGACTTACGTGTACTTTCTGCAGAGAAGAGACCGGAGGATGACTTACGTGTACTTTCTGCAGAGAACAGAGCGGAGGATGACTTACGTGTACTTTCTGCAGAGAAGAGACCAGAGGATGACTTACGTGTACTTTCTGCAGAGAAGAGACCAGGGGATGACTTACGTGTACTTTCTGCAGAGAACAGAGCAGAGGATGACTCGGAGGATGACTTACGTGTACTTTCTGCAGAGAACAGAGTGGGGGATGACTTACGTGTACTTTCTGCAGAGAAGAGACCGGAGGATGACTTACGTGTACTTTCTGCAGAGAACAGAGCGGAGGATGACTTATGTGTACTTTCTGCAGAGAACAGAGCGGAGGATGACTTACGTGTACTTTCTGCAGAGAAGAGACCAGAGGATGACTTACGTGTACTTTCTGCAGAGAAGAGACCAGAGGATGACTTACGTGTACTTGCTGCAGAGAAGAGACCAGAGGATGACTTACGTGTACTTTCTGCAGAGATGAGACCAGAGGATGACTTACGTGTACTTTCTGCAGAGAACAGACCAGAGGATGACTTATGTGTACTTTCTGCAGAGAAGAGACCAGAGGATGACTTACGTGTACTTTCTGCAGAGAAGAGACCAGAGGATGACTTACGTGTACTTTCTGCAGAGAAGAGACCAGAGGATGACTTACGTGTACTTTCTGCAGAGAACAGAGCGGAAGATGACTTACGTGTACTTTCTGCAGAGAACAGAGCGGAGGATGACTTACGTGTACCACGTGCACTCCTCTATGGGCTCCTTGAGGTTGGCTCCCGTCAGCCCAGAGCAAGGCATGAAGTAGATGTCCTTCTTTGGGTTGAAGCCCACCTTTTTCAGAAATGGCACTAACTTCTCTTTACATTCCTCATACCTGTAGTGGAGAGGGAGGAGGATGGGTTATTTTACTGTGTTAAATATCAATATCAATGTTACAATGTTGACTAATTGAGGAACAAAATCATTTAAAAATCTTTCCTATTCTATGACTGTCTGTCATAACCAGCCATGCAGCATGAGGGTCAAACAACATATTAGATGGGATACTGTAGACTCTGTATTTGGCTTTAAATATACATATTGTCTCTCTCTACCAAGATGCATGTATATACTGTACATTGTACTGACTGACCTTTCCAAGCTCCAGTTGACGGTGGGGTCATCCATCTTGTTGACGAGGACGATGAGGTGTTTGACTCCAGCTGTCTTGGCCAGCATGGCATGCTCCCGCGTCTGGCCTCCCTTCTCAAAGCCTGTCTCAAACTCTCCTTTTCTGGCCGAGATCACCTGACCTCAACATAGGGTTATGTTAGACTAGCAAAGGTGCAGAAGATCATGATAAACACTAGGGTACTGGGGTATACCATACAGGTACTGTACATTATCTACAGTGTAGTTTTCAGAACTAGAATGCATGTTAGAAAATACTCTCTCATTATACAGTAAGTCAGTCCTTTTCCTTATCATACAAAATCCATTGCTAAACAAATGCAGTCCCAGTCAACTTGTCTACTGGCAACGATCCAACTATCCAACTAACAGGGAAACAGGGGCAGGTTTTGCCTCGACACAGCAGATATGAAAAGTGGCCAATGCAATGCCTTCCGCTAAGCATCGTTGGGGAAAACTCACCAGCACTGCCAGATCAGCCTGTGACGCCCCACCGATCATGTTGGGGACAAAGCTTTTGTGGCCGGGGGCATCCAGGATAGTAAAGTGCTTTTTCTCTGTCTCAAAGTAGGCTCTCCCCACCTCCACCGTCTTCCCCTTGTCTCGCTCCTCCTGGTTGGTGTCCAGGGCCCAGGACAGGTACCTGGCGAGCAGAAAAAATCAACTGAGATGCCTGAAATTGATGATTAAGAGGCTACCATATTTTCTCATGTCGGACACAAGATGAATAAGTCATATGAAAACGTTTTTCAGAGTCCTTTTCATTATTTCCAAGGATATATTTCCATGGTAAGCTCACCATGTCTCTCTGTTCTTTTCTTTTGCTTCCCTTTCATATTTCTCCAGGGTTCTTTTCTCCACCATCCCTGTCAAATACCTACGATAAGAAAGAAAAACAGAGATTGCCTGATCTGATAAATATAGGAGAGAACATTTTATTTCTAGATAGCCATGGCATTAGTAGCAATGGATATCACACTGTAGAAGAAAATGTTCAGTAACTTGAATCTAGGAATAGTTATTGATAACCATGTTATTACTCACATGATCTGACCTCCAATAGTTGATTTACCAGCATCTGAAAAAAAGAAAACTGGTCTTCAATCCAAATGAATACACAGGCAATTTCTAACAGCACTTGCTCTCTGTCCAGGGAAAACAAACCATGTAGGAAAGAAGAACATGAGGTCATAGTATACAATAGGGACGCACCCACATGACCGATGAACACCACATTGACATGCTCCTTCTTCGGGGCGTCTGGTGGGAGCGGGATTACTTTGAGCATGGGCAGCTCCTCCTCTTCCTCCTCCTCCATCATCTCCTCCTTTCCCTGCGCCTCCTCACTGGAACCCCCCTCTTCTCCCAGGGCTCCCCCTCCTCCTGGTTCTCCTTCCCCAGGTTCCTCTTTCTGCTCCCATGCCTCCACCTCCACCATTATGTCTGCTTCTGTCCCTCCTCCGTTCTCCACCAGAGCTAAAGGACACAAGCGGCACTCGTTTACCACTGACGTAGACTATGAAACAATGCTCTTTTGTTGAAGGTAGTCCACATACAGCAGATTTCACAGGTGCATGATGAGTATATGAGATAGCTTGTGAACAGAGAGGAGAGTACCGGCACACTGTGTGCGGGACTACACAGTGATTGGCTGTTCTCTTCAAACAATGCTCTTTGATCTCTGACCTCACACAATATGACAATGAAATTGGCATATTAAACATGTACTACATAGTTGTGGTCACCTACAATGCCTTCAGAAAGTATTCATACCCCTTGACTTATTCCACATTTTGTTGTGTTACAGCCTGAATTCAAAATGGATCAAATTAATTTTTTTCTCACCCATCTACACAAAATACCCCATAATGACAAATTGAAACATGTTTTTAGACATTCTCATTTACATAAGTATTCACACCCCTGAGTCAATACATGTTAGAATCACATTTGGCAGCGATTACAGCTTTCTGGGTAAGTCTCTAAGAGCTTTGCTCACCTGGATTGTACAATATTTGCACATTATTCTTTTTAAAATTCTTCAAGCTCTGTCAAGTTGGTTGTTGATCATTGCTAGACAGCCATTTTCAAGTCTTGCCATAGATTTTCAAGCCCATTTAAGTCAAAACTGTAACTAGGCCAATCAGGAACATTCAATGTCGTCTTGGTAAGCAACTCCAATGTATATTTGGCCTATTGTCCTGCTGAAAGGTGAATATGTCTCCCAGTGTCTGTTGGAAAGCAGACTATATTAGGTTTTTCTCTAGGATTTTGCCTGTGCTAAGCTCTATTCAATTCTATCCAAAAAAAATTGCTAGTCCTTGCCCATGACAAGCATACCCATAACATGATGGAGCCACCACCATGCTTGAAAATATTAAGAGTGATGTGTTGTGTTAGATTTGTCTCAAACATAAAGCTTTGTATTGAGGACATAAAGTTAATTTCTTTGCAGTTTTACTTTAGTGCCTTATTGCCAACAGGATGCATGTTTTGGAATATTATTATTCTGTTCAGGCTTCCTTCTTTTTACTCTGTCATTTAGGTTAGTATTGTGGAGTAAGTACAATGTTGTTGATCCATCCTCAGTTTTCTCCTAACACAGCCATTAAACTATGTAACTCTGTCACCATTGGCCTCATGGTGAAATCCCTGAGCGGTTTCAATCCTCTCTGGCACCTGAGTTAGGAAGGATGCCTGTATCTTTGTAGTGACTGGATGTATTGATACACCATCCAAAGTGTAATTAATAACTTCACCATGCTCAAAGGGATATTCAATGTCTGCTTCTTTTATTTTTACCCATCTACCAATAGGTGCCCTTCTTTGCGATGCATTGGAAAACCTCCCTGGTCTTTGTGGTTGAATCTTTGTTTGAAATTCACTGCTCGACTGAGGGACCTTACAGATAATTGTATGTATGTAGTACAGCGATGAGTTAGTAATTCAAAAATCATGTTAAACACTATTATTGCATACAGAGTGAATCCATGCAACTTATTATGTAACGTGTTAAGCACATTTTTACTCCTGAACTTAGTTTAGTCTTGCCATAACAAAGGGGTTGAATACTTATTGACTCAAGACATTTCAGCTTTTCATTTTTTATGAATTTGTAAACATTTCTAAAAACATAACTCCACTTTGACATTCTGGGGTATTGTGTGTAGGCCAGTGATACAAAATCTCAATTTAATCCATTTTAAATTCAGGCTGTAACACAACAAAATGTTGAAAAAGTCAAGGGGTGTGAATACTTTCTGAAGGCACTGTATACCATGGCTGTTCAATATCCTTATTTAATAGTGATATAGCTTTGTAATGATAGTAGTGATAACTAGCTAACTTTACAGTATATTGAACAAATTAAATGCATTATTTAAAGAAATTCAAGTTAATCTAGCACTAATGCAGATTTAGAAACCTGCTAATAAAATCTGTAGATTAGTGCATCAGAAAAACTATTCCCATAGTAGCACATAAACAAGGCCTTCACCTCCTCATCCTTGAAATTAAACACTTGGCTGATTCACAATCAGCACTGGAGAAAGGTCATGATGACAACTGCTCAGAGAGGCATGCATACATTGCATGCAATACCACAGAAAAAATAAACTACACATTACAAAGACGGCATCTTTGTTCTGAACTATAAACCCACGAGGTAACTTCAACAGTCACTCAGAACTCCCTTCCCCTTGTGTCCTCTCTCTTTCTCTCGCAATTCAATTCAATTTCAATTCAATTCAATTTAAAATCTCTCTCTCTCTCTCTCTCCCTGGCAGGCTACAGTTACAGCCAGGTGTCACACTAACAGATAAATCAGGCCTATGTAACCTGAGTAGATGTGCACAGCGGCAGTGTTATCCTGCCAAATGTAAAACACCTGACCTCAGCACATATAGGGCTGGTCAACATAGTACCTCTATACAGCAATATTCTCTGAAAATACCACAACTGGACTGTGCCCCATTTGGTTATACCAGTCTAACAAACGTCATATCCTCTATCTGTTTCCATGTGTCCCAGTGTACTAGTATATTTTAGGCATAGGCCTGTGATGTTGCATCATGCTATAGATGTGCATGTAGTGAGTGGGAGCTTGCCAACCCTCCCAGTTGGACCTTGTCATGTTTCCCAGAGCTGGCCTTCAGGCCTAGGCTACCTCCCAGTGAGCAGTAGGCCTGAAGAGACGTTTCAACGTCTGAATGAATGAATGAGTGAATGAATGAAAGGTAAACAATACTGACTGAAGGACATTTGCAATCCCTTCTGGAATTATTTGGGTGGGAGTTGGCAAGGCAACCTTCTGCAGGTAAAAATAATGATTGAGACCTAAGGGCTTTAAAAAAACACCTGTGATACACATCTTCAACAATCAATCTGATACCATCTGTGATTGTCCAAAACAATAACATTGTGCAAAGTCCAACACAACTGAGTGGCAAAGAGAAGCACAAGAAGGAAGAATAGTTTTAGCTGCATAATAACAAAATAGTAATAAACACAGAACACATACCAACTGTTTCTGACAGCTCCATTCTGGCAACTGGCTCAGCACCTGGGAAGAGACAAGTTGTTGCGTTTATCGTTGGCATTAAATTGACATTGGAGCTTTCTGAATAGGAATCCAGTATGGGTGATGGCTTAACAATAATAATAGTCATGAGCAGTAGGCCTAGCTATAAAAGTTGCACCATCATGTCAAAACTGTCACTTTAGTGTTGAGCAATATCATTCACTAGTCTAGTGAGCTTGCTAGCTACAACCCCAAGATAGCTAACGTTATCTAGCTAGCTACTGTAGTTAACCTGGCTAACACCAGGCAATAAGAGCAGCTGTCAAAATCCCGTTATTACAACACTACACAACATCACGCACTAACCTACCGTGACCGTCGGATATTGGGATTTCCGTGGGGCTGCTTTGAAAGAAGGTCGGTACAAACACCGCCGCGTTGACATTCGGGACAAACGGCTTGGCATTGACGTTGAGAGCGGCGAGAGCGGACTGGAGTCCCGCGGCGGCTCGGGCCTCGGCATCCTCCTCCTGCTCCCATGAATCCGGGGCTGTGTCTCGCGGGTCCATGGCAGAGTTAGCTAAGCTAGTTAGCTAGCTTGACTGTGAACAACGCAACTGGCTTGATGTCCGTTCTGTTATCTTGCTACTTATGTTTAAATACTTCGCGTTGCTTCACTGTGTCTTGTTTTGGTAGGCATATGGTGAGCCGGTGTCTCACGGAGACGAGACCGACGAGAGCGAGAGATGTGAACGTACAGTTCCACAACGAACCGCTAGGAGGACTCCTCGAGGGGGCCTGGAACTACAGAACAATGCATTCTGGAAGGTGGGGTTGAATATAAAGCTGTCGATCTCCACTCAGTATACCGGTAAATATGAACATTAATTACAGTATAATAATCAGAGTATACACATCCTTTATTTTACTATACTCAAAACATTTTTTGTATATATAATTGTAATAAGTTATAGTAATAACAAACATCAAATAGTACAGATAAACAGTATCAGTATTCAAATCAGTTACGATTTGAAAAAAAGCTGCCTACTGGTGAATCCATGAGGGTCTTTCACTCTTTGGCATCAGCAATTCCACCCGGAGTGATGGCGAAAGTGGCCTCGTTCTCAGGCATATCAGGACTGCAGGAGATCATGGAAAATAATGAATCTATGAGAGGAGGTAGATCTTTCTCCATAGGCGAGAAAATCCTATTTGACCCCTTCTTTACAATGCTTTATTACTAAGGAATAATGAGAACAACATATATTGAGTAAGTGAACTTTAAGACAAATTACCTGTCAAATATCTTGGCGATCCTCAACTCTCCACGTCCTTTCCTCAAGCTGATTCGTGTGGTGGACGCATGCGCCAGGATGTGCCCTCCAATCGGCTTCTTGGGATCAGCTTGGAACCTGACAGCGACAAGAGAAACCCTCAGATCAGAATTACAGGCCAAAACCTGTTAGAACTTTAGCCAAGTGAGTGAGTTGCCGTCCAATTCCAAACCGACCCCTAGTCCCTACATCTGGTTAGTCACTTACGACATCCCAGCTCCAGGGTCTGCAGTCATCTGGTTGGTGACAAACACTGCAACATTGTACTCTAGGGAGAGGAGAGAAGAAGACATGAATATAAATATGTATGAATATGTATGATTTTGTGGTCCTCTGTAGCTCAATTGGTAGAGCATGGCGCTTGTAACGCCAGGGTAGTGGGTTCGATCCCCGGGACCACCCATACGTAAAAATGTATGCGCACATGACTGTAAGTCGCTTTGGATAAAAGCGTCTGCTAAATGGCATATTATTATTATTATGAATGAATATTAAAAAACTAAAAATCTCCCATCTACATCAATGCAAGGTTTACGCAAATGTCAAGAGTTATTCTGCCAGAGTATATTCTACTATTTCCATAGTTCCCATATAAGTCTGCAAGAGCAGTGGCCAGACCTTCAGAGATCTTCTGCAGACGGGAGAGCATCTGGGCCAGCTTCTGTTGTCTCTCTGCCAGCTCCCCTCGGCCAGAGAAATCTACCCGGAACAGAGCCATGATGGAGTCTATGATCTGAGGGGAGGAATGGGAAAAACATAGAGACTCAAGACATTATAAATGCTTATTACACATAATAATGTATTATAGCTGTCGACATTAATTAAAGTGTTCCCGAAAGATAAGTACAGTGATGGAAGTTGACACTAAGAAAAAAATACTAACATAAAACAATGTGACAGGTGATATTGTTTATATTTTATTTTCATTAATACCAGAAGTTTGAAGACACCTCCCTCCTCGTGGAATTTGGCCGCCACAAAATCCAACAGTTCCATCTGGTGTTCACCTGAAGTTGAAACCCAATTAGGTACATAGTACAGTGCAGTACAGTAAGTCCAAGATGCAAGGTCCAAACCATACAAATGCCTAATCCTCTGATGTCATAAATACCTGTTAGAAAGTCATCCTCAAATGTATACAGTAAAAAATGTACAAACAACAGACTCAAAATGTATACTTAACATTTCTATCTAACATTGTGAAACAGCTTTCCTCAGACAATATGTTCTCAGGTTTAGGCAGTAATGATAGAGAGGTCTAATGAGTAAGTTAAATGTCTTACTGGTGTAGGCTCGGGCGTATAACACGTTGTCCAGCACAGCATCATGGTCCACGTTGAACCTGTCTGCTATGTCCTTTAGCCTGTCTGGACGACTAGAGGGTCACATCAGGTTAAGGAAAACATAGGATTTCATAAGAGACTATTGGCTGAGTCATGTGAATAAAAAACACTGTGATACTTATGACCCTGTTTCCTCAGAAATACTTGCAAAGGTACAGGTGAATTTAGACTGTTGCAAATATGACTTCATAGATTAGAGCTCAGGTAAATTAGGATACAAAGTGTTCTCTGTGTCGATGAAGATGACTTTTCCTCCTGTGTAGCCGTCCTCTCCAGGAAGCTGGGCTGTGACTGGAGAACAACAGAGACACAGACTAAATGACAAGAACCAATGTAAGAATATCTGAACGTTTCTGAAACCTGACTTCCAAGACAGTACAACCCAACTGGGACTACCGAAAAGACCCCTCAGCCATTCACTTACCACAGAGCGTGTGAGAGAGCTGGGTCTTGCCTGTCCGAAACTCTGAGGGACAAAACATTTACTATGAAAGTATGAAGAAAAAAAATAAACGTTTTATATCTGACCCAGGTCAGGATACTGTTAGCCATTGGGCCTTAACTTCCTGTCTTATACATCATGAGCATGAGATTGATCATATCTTTGAATGAGGGACACACAGTCAGAGACAGAGCTCACCTCCAAATGCCTCAGTGATTGCCATGCTCTCCATACCTCCCCCAAGTAGTTTACTGCAGAGAAGACAGACGGATCAGGAGAAAAAAAATAGGAGTACTGTGTTTATACTGCATTATGAATCAGGAAAATGTATTAATATGAAAGGTTATGAACATATGAGCGTGTTGTAGCAAATCTCAACTCAAACTCCAGGCTTCCAGTGGTGACGCGGAACAATTGTTTCCTCTTCGCACTGTATTCAAATGCTGTCAGGAAACCTTTGGTCTTAAAAAACATTTTTTTTAATTCAACGTACAAAGTGACAACAAAACTAATCATGAATCACCAAAGTCCCCTATACTGAAGGTGACTCAGGTGAGTCTCTCACCAGCATTTTCCCAGCAGCCTCTTTGATCTTGTCCACCTTGGCCTCCGAAAGGCCCTTGATGTTACACAGGGCTCTGCGTGTGGTCATCTGGATCCCCTTCACTGTGCAGATACCCACAGACTTCAGCTTCTTTAAATCTGCCATGTTCTGGATGGATGGAGGGTGGGAGGGATGGATGGAGGGAGGGAGTGGAGAGAGAGCGAAAGGGAAAGAGAGAGAGGGAGGGAGGGGTGGTAGTGGGAGAGAATGGAGAGAGAGAGAGAGAGCCAGGGGTTGTTTACTTATTTGTTTTGAGTTGTAATCTTGAGTTGGTCTATCTACCTACCCATGACTAAGTATCTATAACATATTATACACTCTGTCAAGGGTCAGGGCAGTCTGACTACTGTCCTTGACCTTGTTTTCAGATATACTCACAATTCCATGCTTCTGTAGGGTGTCTATGTCTTGGAAAAAGGACTCCTGTGGGTAAAGAACATGACAAAACAACCTCAGTTTGAAGTCCATGTTGAGAAGTAACATATGATCTGACTGTGTCTGACACACCACTTAGGCCAGATGGAAGTTACCATCACCAAAAATATATTAGCTATGTTGTTTGTTATCAATGATTATCAATGAGTGGTAGCTAACTTACTAGCTACAACAATCCATTCTACCAAGAAAAACATCAAATTAAGCTAGTAGTAGCTACGAGATGGCTAGTGGCTAACAAAACTGACAACCGTAGCCAGGCTGCCAAGCAAGCTAAAATCAAAGACAGTACAGTATGAAGATAGGCAAAAACTGCTTCTCCAATAGAGGGAAATAGTAATGGTGTCTTTTTGTAGGCACTAACTCCGCCATGGTTTGTTGGACAAAGCCTATGGGGAAAATGAATGGCGTATTTTGGAGAAAAATGTTTTTCCCGCGCTCAGTCCGCTAATATCGTTCCGCTAATACAGGACTAGTAAAGGCACAGTGCACTTATTTTGTGATTTTTTAAAAACTAAATGTATTTGAGTGTTTCACAGCATTTGTAACTTGAGTCTGATAATTATCTGTACAAAACAGGTAACCTGATAATACTTGTGGAATATAAAAATACTTGTTTGATATACAGTATGTTTTCCAGTTTCTTTAAGTACATTGCAAATGCAACTTATTTCTATGTGAAAACTGAAATGGTCTATTCATTCCTTTTCAGTGGAAGCTCTTATCCAGAGCAACTTGCAGTAGTGAGTGCATACATTTTTATACTGGTCCCCCATGGGAATCGAACCCACAACCCTAGCATTGCAAGCACCATGCTCTACCAACTGAGCCACATCATCACATCACATCATCACAAACCACTTGATGTCTCAGTGTATTCAATTACTGTATTGTGCATTGTTTTCCTTCATGGCGATGGAGAGTCTACAGGTACAAACCTAGATGACCAGCCTATGTACAATACAGTAATGTATATTTACATTTAGTGGTTTGTAAGGATGGTAAATTAATACTGCACAAAAAGTGGTTGTTTTCCATGTTATTTGATCAAGTAAAACTATATAATTTGATGTGGATGTTTTGTGTCTTTGCCCATAACTTTGCACCTTTTGATGTAAATGTTTGAGGACAGACAGGGCTTTTGTTCTTTCTGGATTCCATTAGAATGACAATCACAGCGAAAGGGACAGGGCAACAACTCTTACAATTCCAACTATTGAATCCAGCAAGATATTGTTCTTAATTATACAACTACCTTTTTTGCCAAAGCTGAGATCTTGATACAATTTTTTGCCTGCACTACAGACCTCTATATAGGTCCGCTAATACTAGTAAAGGCCCAGTGCACTACTTTTGTGAAAACATTTTTTTATGTTTTATTCCGGCACCCCTACGTCCCGCGGTTATGCATAAAGCACATAAAGGTTTCATAATTCATAAAGGTCATGTTAACTGACTGCTATTATCTCATAGAACAAAACTTATAAGATCTCTTAAGCCTGTGTTAACCTCAGACCTTATTTTCAGCGTTTATTACAAAACCCTATTCTTTTCCCATTCATTCATCCCTTAGGGATGGCTGAACAAACCAGAGGTCACTCATTTCCGGGTTTTAGAACTACAACCTGGCCAGCGCTAAGAAATCATAGAAATTGAATGAATAGAATGGGCTTGGCTCCTCTAACCCTGGGAAATTGGCTGGCAAACTCATCTGTACACTGGCAGTGGCTGCCTGGTATTGTGATGCAATAATTTCCATAGTAATGTAGAATGTTCATTCAAACGATGTTAGCTGATGTGGCTTATACAATGGAATGTACTTTTTGTAATGTCAGTTGAGTTGATTCAACATATCACAGCACAGATTGATGGGTACATTTCCTGCTGTTAATTCCTGCTTTACTCCTATGGGTACCAATCAATCAATCAAATGCCATGATTAGCTGTTCAGGAGTCTTATGGCTTGGGGGTAGAAGCTGTTAAGAAGCCTTTTGGACCTAGACTTGGCACTCCGGTACCGCTTGCCGTGCGGTAGCAGAGAGAACAGTCTATGACAAGGGTGGCTGGAGTCTTTGACAATTTTTAGGGCCTTCCTCTGACACCGCCTGGTATAGAGGTCCCGGATGGCAGGAAGCTTGGCCCCAGTGATGTACTGGGCCGTACACACTACCCTCTGTAGTGCCTTGCGGTCGGAGGCCGAGTAGTTGCCATACCAGGCGGTGATGCAACCAGACAGGATGCTCTCGATGGTGCAGCTGTATAACGTTTTGAGGATCTGAGGACCCATGCCAAATCTTTTCAGTCTCCTGAGGGGGAATAGGCTTTGTCGTGCCCTCTTCACGACTGTCTTGGTGTGTTTGGACAATGATAGTTTGTTGGTGATGTGGACACCAAGGCCAGTCCACCCATTATTTTACATTTTAGTCATTTAGCAGAGGCTCTTATCCAGAGCGACTTACAGTTAGTGAGGGCATTATGACATCATTGACTTAAATGCGGACGTCAGTTCTATTAATTCAATTTCTTAGATAGATATCATCACTTGTAGGCGATGTCATTACGATGTTGGCTAGCTAATGCCGCGTTCAAGTGCTAGTCGGAACTAGGAAACTTGGAAATGTCTGACTTGCTATTAGGTTGTAGTTAATATATAGTCGTGGTCAAAAGGTTTGAGAATTACACAAATATTAATTTTCACAAAGTCTGCTGCCTCAGCTTTTATGATGTCAATTTGCATATACTTCAGAATGTTATGAAGAGTGATCAGATGAATTGCAAAGTCCCTCTTTGCCATAAAAATTAACTTAATCCCCCAAAAACATTTCCACTGCATTTCAGCACTGCCACAAAAGGACCAGCTGACATCATGTCAGTGATTCTCTCGTTAACACAGGTGAGAGTGTTGACGAGGACAAGGCTGGAGATCACTCTGTCATGCTAATTGAGTTAGAATAACAGAATGGAAGCTTTAAAAGGAGGGTGGTGCTTGAAATCATTGTTCTTCCTCTGTTAACCATGGTTACCTGCAAGGAAACACGTGCCATCATCATTGCTTTGCACAAAAAGGGCTTCACAGGCAAGGATATTGCTGCTAGTAAGATTGCACCTAAATCAACCATTTATCGGATCATCAAGAACTTCAAGGAGAGAGGTTCAATTGTTGTGAAGAAGGCTTCAAGGCGCCCAAGAAAGTCCAGCAAGCGCCAGGACTGTCTCCTAAAGTTGATTCAGCTGTGGGATCGAGGCACCACCAGTGCAGAGCTTGCTCAGGAATGGCAGCAGGAAGGTGTGAGTGCATCTGCACGCACAGTGAGGCAAAGACCTTTGGAGGATGTCCTGGTGTCAAGAAGGGCAGTGAGGAAGCCACTTCTCTCCAGGAAAAACATCAGGGACAGACTGATATTTTGCAAAAGGTACAGGGATTGGACTGCTGAGGACTGGGGTACAGTCATTTTCTCTGATGAATCCCCTTTCCAATTATTTGGGGCATCCTGAAAAAAGCTTGTCCGGAAAAGACAAGGTGAGCGCTACCATCAGTCCTGTGTCATGCCAACAGTAAAGCATCCTGAGACCATTCATGTGTGGGGTTGCTTCTCAGCCAAAGGAGTGGGCTCACTCACAATTTTGCCTAAGAACACAGCCATGAATAAAGAATGGTACCAACACATCCTCCGACAGAAACTTCTCCCAACCATCCGAGAACAGTTTGGTGACGACCAATGCCTTTTCCAGCATGATGGAGCGCCTTGCCATAAGGCAAAAGTGATAACTAAGTGGCTCGGGGAACAAAACATCGACATTTTGGGTCCATGGGCAGGAAACTCCCCAGACCTTAATCCCATTGAGAACGTGTGGTCAATCCTCAAGAGGCGGGTGGACATACAAAAACCCACAAATTCTGACAAACTCCAAGCATTGATTATGCAAGAATGGGCTGCCATCAGTCAGGATGTGGCCCAGAAGTTAATTGACAGCATGCCAGGACGGATTGCAGAGGTCTTGAAAAAGAAGGGTCAACATTGCAAATATTGACTCTTTGCATAAACTTAATGTAATTGTCAATAAAAGCCTTTGACACTTATGGAATGCTTGTAATTATACTTCAGTATATCTGACAAAATATAGTAGCAAACTTTGTGAAGACCAATACTAGTGTCATTCTCAAAACTTTTGACCACGACTGTACACGTGCCACTTTCAACCAATTTGTGAGTCGGACATTTCCATGTTTCTTAGTTCCGACTAGAACGTGAACGCGGCAACTCATGCTTAGGGACAAGTCATCGGGTCGAACGGTCGTCTCGCGTTAAACTGCGCATGTGCAGGCCGTCAAAATCAAAGGCACTCCTTCGATATGTTGTTTTTGACGAAAATGAAAACGTGTCAGTTTGTCACTATCACGAAGGTGGAGTAATACCATGTTCAACTACTTGACATTGGCACGAATTAACGTTGTGCCTTTAGATGTCGAGAAAATTAACAACTATGGAAGAATTTTTCACTTCACTCCTTGACTTCTCAAACCCGGCCTGTTTCGCAAGTCTCGCGATGTTGTGCCTCTGGGTTTAGTGTGCAAAAAGAGTTAGCTAGCTAGCCAGGTTAATGTTACCTCATCATCTTGGTATCCGGACTCATCCTCCACAACTTGATCCTCGGCGGCTTTCATCTTGATAGGCGCAATGTAGCTATCTCTTGAAGTAGATATTGTTTTTGTTTCAGCAACCTTGCTAGCTAGCTATAATTGGAAATGTCTTACGTCAGAAAATATTAGCAAGCGCTCAGTTAGTTGGCTAGCGAACGTAAGCTATAGCTCCTGAAAGATTTGATCAACAGCGACAGAATTAGGTCGCTTCTTTCACTGACTTGACAGCCCTATAAAAATAGAAATTGTATATAAAATGTTGCAACGCTAATTATGATGACCTTCAGCTTATCAATATGAAAAATGACTTGCCACCTGAGATTTATCCAGGTGGCGGGAATGTTTGACAGAAGTCCTTTATCACGCTCGTGTTTGAAAGTTGAGAACTGTCAGTCAAAATTGTTACACTCGCGAGATGCTCTCATCAGCAACAGTCTTTGGGAGTGATTGATCTTCATGCACAGTAGCTACATAGTCAATTTATAGTGTTTATCTCTAAGATAACTGCACTTTACTACAGTATACAAATGTAAGGTCTCAGAGGAAAGTAAGGTACATGTAAATAATTACAAACAAGTTAACTGTAAAGGAGGCAAAGCAGCACACGTTAATGTCAATTTCGTTGGTGTTTTTATTCCTACAGTCATGTCGAAGACATAGAATTAGCTCTGGAAGCTGAAGTAAGAGACCATAAATTCCATAGGGGGTGACAACAGAGAAAAGTAACTGACATTCTCCAGGCTTGACAGGACTATGTGTACATTGACATAATATCTTTACAGAATTATACTGTATGCAGGGAAAGTGTTTGAATCTTATCAAAATATACTTTTTGTGATGCATATTTTGTGATGGATTGACTTTAATGCCCAAATGAAATCAAGTCTCAAGCAACACGTGACAGACATACTCTGATCACCAACACTTTTTCAATTGGGTATCCCTGTGCAAAGTTGTTCAATGGGAATTTTAACACTCACAACAAAGAACACTAACACCCTATCTATGGCTTAGTCTTTGCAGAGTCTTGTGGCCTGCTGGCCTTTGTTGCATCTGAGTCGATGCATATACCAAGAAGTCACCAACTCAATGGGCATGGTCACCTTACCTGGCTTCTCTAGTGTAAGCCTGTTCCTGATGTAGAGGTACAACTTAAACCAGCAGACACTATAGATCTCAATGACCAACTGTGATTGTGAATGACGGATCTATGATGTCAGTCATGTCTAGTCTACCATGATTTTCCCACTTACAAGTGGAATGAACACGTTCCCAAACCAAACACAGGTAACAACAGTTGAGGCCAAATGTAGCTACACACCCACATGAAAACATTGTTCTTTAGACCACACACACTCTTGGTAACCTCTTATAACCGCAATAATATCCCAATTTCTTCAATTATCTACCTGGTCCAAACTCTGTGGAACACATACATATTTATATCGCTATACATATAAAAAAAGAAATAAAAGGACAGTGCTCAGAAGTCAGTCTCTGCAGGATGTTGAGTAAGAGAGACAGCGAGAGGGACGTTCATTATTGCAACACCCAGGAAGTGACATCATCATCCTCTAACCTCCTTAAATGGCCAATCCTGGATGTTGGAATGAGCATGTGCAGCTTTGTATTATCTTCCTCCCTCTTCTTTGTCTCGCTCTCTCTCCTTCTGAGCCTCCCCTTTCCCTCGTTGGTTAAAGCTCTAAGGCTGTCTGAGCGACATCTTCGTCACATTTTAACTGGAGCGGGAGGCATCAGTCCTGGCATTCCACCTGACATCCCTGCGTTGGGTCCCAACAGGATCTACACAAGGAAGGGGCATTACAAAAACATTAGTTCATTTATTAATTGACAACACAGCAGATCCTAATGACTCATAACGAAAGAGTGATTTACCCAATTCCAAATCAAACCCCCTAAGGCTTTTCACGTAGATTGAAAAGTATAGGATAGGTATAGGCTATATGATGATAGCTCCACTTTGCTGTCTGAAATGGTAGTACTTTTAGCCATATTGCTTTCATTTCAGAAGAACAAGAGTCTAGCTAGGACATCAACTTTTTCCCATAATGCCACTTCATCCTGGAACATGCTTCAAAATATATTAAAGTTAGGGGTTAGTGTCCTTGCCTGTTTTTAAGACTCTGATCGACAACACTGTTTGTGATAGCTGCAGTTGTTTCTAATCTTCAATTGTATATGTAACTTGTGACACTGTCTTTTGTGTGTATTTTATGTACACGCTGCTATTTCCCTGTTTTGCCTTCTTGCCAGGTCGCCCTCACAAAATAGGTTTTTAACCTCAATGGGTCTTACCTGGTTAAATAAAGGTTACGTTTTTTTTTTAAATAGTGGTAGGGGCTAGTGGTGTATTTGGAACTGAACATAGTCTGTCAGTGGGATAGTACAGTACCTGTCTCTGCTGCTGTAGCTGCTGCTGCTCCAGCTGTAGTCTCTCAGTCTCAAACACCACCGGAAGGACCAGGATCATGAACGAGGTAGTGCCCACCCACAGGGCAGCGCGGGAGAAACTGGAAGAGACACGGCAACAGGAGGTGAGATGAGAGGGAAAGGTGGGGGTTAAATAACAAACAAACATGATGAGATAACTACAGTAGATAATAACAAACACAGATGGTGTAACTGACTGTCCTTGGAAAGACCAGGGGCAGGCAAAACACTCCTTGGAATACAGAGGAGCTGTTCAGAACTGTGAATGCAATATAGTGCTCCATCCACACACTGCTCCTGTCCTTATTGTGTATGGTGAAGCTCTAAAACGAGAGGTTTCAGCCGTTTTCAGGAGAACGCTCACCTGTACAGCTTCTTGGCCACAGTGACTGAGCCTGATATGGTCACCTCAGCCGCAGAACGCAGTGTATCAGGGAACATCTCAGTCAAACCCCACAGCCTCTCAATAAGAGTCTCATCCAGCTGAGGGGAGGGAGACGCATAAGTTACTACAACACGGATAACATGCTTATTTTAGACCCAATGGAGAATGGAGGTATATAGTACCTACATTAATTAAGTATTTTAAAGTCTAAAACGTAACCAGCTCTGAGGTACTAGCTAGTATTGAAAACCTTCAGATTACTGAATGACACATTACAGTTTTAGACTATGCCTACAATGTATGTGTCCACACAATGGGACATCTGGCTTACTTTAGTTCATGGAGTTAAATTTAAAGTACGGCCAATTACAGTACAGGTAAAACAGCTATCCTAGTCGTGCATGTGACAGTACGCTAGCTAGCTACCATGCTAACGCTAGCTAACACCGGTGAGCAATTACTCGCATAACGACTGACTCTCAGTAGCTGTAGCTAACTAGCTAAATAGGCATACCATTCAAGTGAAACTGTATGTATGATCGTGCATGACAGTTACGAGGTGACAGGTGTCAAGTTGCCATTCAACCATACCTCCTCATCTTCATCTTCGTCGATCTCGCCTTCTGGGGGCCGGGTCTCGACTGGGCCCGCAGCCGGTGAGAGCTCTTCGATTCCAGCCATGGAAAACCGTTCTCGCGCCGTTTACCAGCCTGTGTGATTAGCAAATCAAAATGTACCTCAATCGGTGGAAGGGCAAATCAGTATTTTAATGTTTTATCGTTGAATTATTGATTTTGCCCCGGCTTGCATAAATGTTGGACCGAAGAGGCGTGCATTGGTCCTGCGACAATCTGAGGTCACTCGGGTAAGCTACATGTGCGTTGGATGACGGGAAAAATGGTCCATTGCCTTACTCGCTAAAATAAATTGCGCCCTCTGTCGTACGAGATGTCTTACAGAGTGTTTCAGGATTCAACAAAACAACTGTATTTTTTTTATTTTGTTTAAAATGAAGATACCGTTTATAGTATTTCTGTATGATAATTGCTGATCTTTGTCTAGTAATCCACTATAAGGAGAGCCTCAACATTTGGGATTTCAAAATGGCTATGTATTGGAGCAAGGAGTCACCCTCTCCCCCTTCTACAATAAGCATAATTGTAATTTAAGGGTTGTTGCTTTTTATTTCACCTTTATATAAACATGAAAGTATTTTTCACCTACATTCACTAGTTGCGCCATAGGAGAAGGCAGCAAAGGAGCCATAGGAGAAGGCAGCTGACTATTCATTTGGAATGTAATTCCATACAGTGCCTTTCTAAATCAATAAGAATAGGAAAGGAAAGGAGAAGCAGGTCATCATCATGGAAAAGTTTGGGACGCAGGGATTCCTTTTTGTTTACATCCAGATCCTTTGCTTCCAGCTCGTACGCTGTGGGGCGGGCGGGATCCACCCTCATTCCTTCGAGCTTACGTCATTGTTACTGTGTTTTTTGTGAATGAAAGAATCCAACCCCACCGAACAGAGTAATTCCGGGAAAAGGCGGACTGACATTTTGTCGCTTAACTTGCTTCGACTGAACACAATATTTGACGTTTCTCCGTGTTTTAAAGTATTTATTTATACAATTGTGTCGACAACTCAAAGACTGGCAGCTGGTACTCTCCAACGACATAGCTAAGGACAAGTAAGTAGGCAGCTGTTTGCTTTTCGGGTTAGCCACCTAGCTAGCATTGGCTAATCCGTGTTGTTGGCTAATGCTACTAGCATGTTGTTTAGCTAGCCTTGCAAAATTGCTACAATTTGGCAACAATGATACGACCACATATTCACTATTTACATATCTCAGATGCGTGTCAGGAATTGTTCTCGATATTTTGTGTTTTGTATAACATTGTGTAGGTTCTCATTTTTAAAGATTAAAAGGAGCTATTTAAATGTTGCTAAAAAAAATGGATGGCGACCTGCGCAGTTGCGATGGCCGTGTGTTTACTATCGCATTGAGCTAGCATGGCGGACCTAGCTCGCCAGCTCCCTTCCGTATAAGGAAATGGGTGGATTTTTATTGACAATTAAATGTTCACTTAGGCACAAATCTTACATTTCCATCTGTTAATGAAAGTTAGCTTATGAAACAACAATATCATTTGAAAGGTAAATATAGCTTTGTGTTTCTACTTCTCAGCTAATTTTGTCTTGAAACGTCAAGCTGGTCGACATCTAAAGTCAGAACTGTATTGTGTTATAACACTATTAGGCACAAAATACTGATTTAAATACAGAATTTGGGAGACTGGTATCGTTCAATATTTAGTGAGCTTTTATTGACAACATACATGTTGTACGAGAGAGTATAGTCGCCCGTCAGACACTAGCGGTGGGCAGCTTATTGCTGAATCACTATGACTTTATGAAATGGTTACATCGGTTTACAACGGCGCCTCGTGGTAGGACAGGCGTTTTTAAGTGTAAGGTCACTTCCCACGCATTTCGGGAAACGGTAACGTCAAGGATCCACCATAAACTTACCAGAGCCTTTATTTAGAACAATAATTATAATCAGGTCTAGACGACAATGTTAGAGCTGAGTCATCATTCTATTTTACATCTAGCCATTTCTTGTTGTGATCTCTTTCCTTCTCCTACTTGGGTGAAGGGGATTTTATTGTTAATGATTATGACAACACATGAGGATATCCTACATCAAAGACAAGAATAACTTATAAAGTAACACTCAAAACATAGCTGCCACTTGTCCTGAATAGATAAAATATTAAAATGTAAAAGAGATCCTCCAAATACCAAGTTTCACATGCAAGAGTCCAACCCAGCCAGTGGAGGCTCCTCATAGGAGGAAGGGGAGGACCATCCTCCTCAGTGAATTTCAAGAAAATAAAGGGAACCATAAAAAAAGTTATCCTTTTTAGATAAAACTATACTAAATATATTCACATGTAACCAAATACCTGATTAAAACACACTGTTTTGCAATGAAGGTCTACAGTTACCACAACAGCACTCTGTAGGGTAGCACCATGGTGTAGCCGGAGGACAGCTAGCTTCTGTCCTCTTCTGGGTACATTGACTTCAACACACAACCTAGAAGGCTTGAGGTTCTCACCCCCTTCCATAGACTTACACAGTAATTATGACAACTTCTGGACCGATCAGAGCTCTTGCAGCATGAACTGGCATGTTGTCCACCCAATCAAAAGATCAGAGAATTAATCTAGTGCTGAAAGCATAAGCTACAGCTAGCTAGCACTGCAGTGCATAAAATGTGAGTAGTTGACTGAAAGAGAGAGAAAGACAATAGTTGAACAGTTTTTAACAAATTAATTTCTTCCAAAATTAAGAAGTGAGAAAGGTTGTGTGTTTTTTTTTTTTTTTTTACCTTCACTTAGCAAGCGAATGCAGCTCGCTAGTTTTAGCCTACTCAAACACCCGGCTCAAACAGAGGGAGATGCTATGTTAGCTAGCTGGCTATCCAACACTGGAACTCTTCCAAGTCAAGGTAAGCTTTTGGTTTGATTAATGTATTGCCACAGGGGCCCACCGGTGTAACTGCTAAACTGCTTTCTGACTGTACACTGTACTGCATGATTGTAGCAGGTTTACTAACGCATCAGTTCTAGTAGCTATGTTGACTATGAGGCTATAATATGGTGACAACGATGTAGGCTGTGTGTAGCGGTTAGCGGTCATGGTATGAAGGTTTGGCTTGGAAAGGTTTTTTGTGCCTGGTCATAGACAGCTGATGTGTTGTGCACTGAAGTCCACCAGAGAAGGGAAAAGGTGAGAGGAGGAGAGCACGTAGATAGTTGCAAGAAGGAATCATATATACAATGAGCAAAGGGATCATGCTGTTTGTATGTGGCTGCTATGAAAGTGAACTCTGTTTGCGTGTGATCATGTGTGTATTCAACGTTTCTTAAATGGAAGCGAACTGAATGAAACAGGTATAAAAAATAGCTGAATTTGTCAAATAGAAATTCACATTTGCAACTGTTGGACTAATGATTACAACCCTAGATCAGCTAGATGCAGGCAAGAGTGGTATTGAATGTGTCACTGTCTGTCACCTTGATTACACAATTCTAATGACCTGTGCACCTACGTTGTAAACTTTCATTCATAGGCTAGGTTGTAGCAACCTCATGATGGGTATAGGAAAAATTTGAGTATCATGTAGTAGCCTAAACCTATCGCTGTTACATTGAGCTGGGTGAATGGAATATGAATGACAGTCATCCAATATGCTGTAATAGAAAAAGGCCATGCTCATAAAAAAGAAAGCATCCTCCCTCATCTTAAATGGCACCGACTGCCACTGAACCCAGCCCCCATGCTTAGAGCATTTGGAAAAGCACAGTATGTCCAATCCATTATGTTATAACTGTATTAATACCAGTTCAGTTCTGCTGTGAGTGTTAGGAAGAAGTGGTTACTAGTGTTTGATGGGAACACCTGATTTGAGCAATGTGGGATGGGCACATGATAGGCCTAACTTCCCTTCACTATTCCAATCAGGGGAGAAATCTTAAACTTTCAAAACCTCACTTTACTCCCATTTAGATATTTGAATGATAGACCGCAGAAGTGTAGGGGATGTTTTCTCTTTTCAAGGGAAGGCCTTCAGTCCAAGATGGGATGTCTTTATATCCTACTACACTGAGTAGTATATAGGGGAACACATGAACTTAATTAGATTAATGTTTCTCAAATGCTTCAAATTAATTGTATGTCCTTTCTCTCACTCCTTCTTGTAGACCGTCTATAAATCTGTGTTTACTGGTGTCAGAGACACAGGATAAAGCCAGATCATGACGTCAGAAAGAAGCAGCAAAGCCCTGAAGGTAGAATTGCAATACATTTATGATAACGTTTGGAGTTGATTTGATTTTAAAGTGCATTTTACACGCACGTCACAGCACTTTCTAAAAAATTATACAACTCTCCATCCTCTCCAGGTAAAGCGGGAGTGTGGTGAGAACGTTCCGGTGTTGTCGGACAGTGAGCTTATGTCCCTGTCTGTACGGGAGCTCAACCTGCACCTGCGGGGTCTGTCCCGCGAAGAGGTCCAGAAGCTCAAGCAGCGCCGGCGCACCCTGAAGAACCGCGGCTACGCCGCCAGCTGCCGGGTGAAGCGCGTGTCCCAGCGCGAGGCCCTGGAGCAGCAGAAGAAGGAGCTCCAGAGGGAGGTGGAGAGGCTGGGGGTGGAGAACGCAGGGATGAGGAGAGAGCTGGAGGGCCTGGGGGCCAGGCTGGCAGCCCTGCAGAGGTTCGCCCGTGGGTTAGAGTCTGGAGGGGGCAACCTCCTGGCTACAGCCCCACGCCTCAACACAGCCTCGGTCATTACCATAGTGAAGACCCCGCCACAGGCCCACGTCCAGAGAGAGCAGGGAGGGTCCTAGGAGGAACCGACCGGGCTGGGGAGGGACAAACGCACGTACATACACTCTCATATACACACACACACAGGTAGACACATGCACGCATGAAGAGAGCGGGAGGATTGGAGGAACACCGACAAATGGGCACTTATGAAACTCATGCGCTTAGGATGATACACACACACACACACAAACATAAGGTGTTCACAGTCAGTGATAAATACTCTCTAAACCCAGCCAACCCACACTCAGACAGGCGTGGACTTGAGGAAACACGGCGGTTGACGAATCCGACTAAAGCACGACAGACGTGCAAAACAGGGACACAGACACCATCCGTCGACAAAGCCAGTCTTGCTGCTGGTGCTCTCTGATACTGCTATTCAACAGGCTGAGCCAGCTAGCGCTCTGCCTTCTAGCATGGCTTCTAGCCCTGCTACACAATGCCTGGGTTAATCAGACTCTTCCGCAGCTTCTTCCAATGCAAGCTTTGAGTTTTTAAATGGCATCACAATTGACATCTGTACACGTCTTGGAGTGTTGTTCCTCTGTACTGTGTGTGTCGATACTATTGTGCTTCACTGTGCTGCCGTGTGTCGTGGCTACATGGGTGTTTTCAACTGTACCACAGTGCACATTTTGGTTTGCTATATAAAAAAAAATCCAATAACCATCCTTTGCTTGTATCTAGATTCCCCAACTTGCAGAAGTTGGTCATTGCTGGACACAGTGGGAAAATCCACATCTCGTAGAATGCCATGTCAATGTGGAAATCTATTGATGCATTCCATTATGTTATTTTGTAATGTTTATACAAGAGACAAAAATGTTTGAGCAAACGTTTATTCAGAGGTATTCTATTTTATTTGTATTTAAAGAATAGATATTACAAAAGCTAATGAGTGCTGTGATGTAATGTATGTTTCAAATACCTGGATATGACTAGTTTGGGGAAATTCTCAAGTCTAATTGTTGTACGGAGTGTGTGACGATTATTTTTGTAATGTTTAACTGTCGTAATGAGCTGTTTAGATATGCTAAAAGCCGATGTTCATGTTGCTGTAAGATGATTTTAGTATGTGTGTACACCATATTTGTACTAATTTCATAGTGAGTCGAGTGGCTTGTTGTAGGAATATTATTTTTCTATAAAGTACCAAGGTGATTCCGATGATACGTATTGTTATTTATGATCAAATTATTTTACGTTTTGTTTTCTGAGATGGCACGAGAGGGAGACAACACTGTAAGGAGAAATAATGAAGGCAAAGAATGAGAGGAAAAAGAGATGGATATGAAGAAAAGATGTGGTGGTGGTGGAAGAGAGGATTTGGGAGGTGAATGAGGGCAAAGAAAGCGAAGAGGACAGACAGGTGGTGCTTTGTAACACCCATGACTTATCAATAAACCCCCGCTGACTCCACTAGATATACCTTTACACATTATATTGTGTTGATGAATACTCCCTTAAGATATATTTAGCTATCTTCTCAATATCAATGTTGCATAGCATTTATCCTCAGTAATAGGTCTCATCTAAGATTATTAATGTCAAATTGTGCTGGATGTTTTGTTATACCGCAAAACTAAAATGGTCTGTATTTATTACATGTATTTTTTCTATGGTGAAAATTAAGTACATTGTCTATTTTATATATTAATAATTGAAATAAATGTTGTATATATTGTGAATACAGTGGTGTGATTGTGATCATTTATATAAATGGCCTTGGTAGAGCAGGTGAGGTGAGTCCCCTTACAATGTAAAGCACATTGAGTACTTCAATAAAGTAATATAAATCCAATCCCTTAAGTCAGTCATGACAATAGTGGTGTTGGTAAACTATAAATTATGACCGCTGTTAAAATGTAATGGCTGACCATGTCACACAGCTGTAGTTGTTGATCACTCTGGCAGGTTTCATAATGTATGAGAGGGAAGCAGAAAGGGGAAGAATGAAACCATAGTGTGTGAGTACACCATCAGGGAGCGGTTTTCTTTAGGGAACTACAACTACTGTTGAGTAGGGAGGTTAAAATAAGCAATAGTAAATCTATGTAAAATTTACTTTCAGAAGAGAAGAATAGCAGATGAGATTTTCCACTGTTTCACTTGTGATTTGGAGCTATATTTATCATAAGACATCTAAGCAACAACCAAGTTCTAAAAATACTATTTAATATTAAATGGCACAATAATGACAAGACTCCTTTAAAACAAATCTAAATATCTTTATTTTCTCTAGGCTTAACATTTTGTTTGTCTGAATATTATTTAGATGAAAAATAGAAGCATAATATCAGCAGCTTTATGACATAATACAGAGAACTAGACAGAATAAAGTATAAGGTTAATAAAATACATCCTAGGCCTAGATAAAGAGAGCCCACATAGAGAGAATATCAGAAAAATAGGAACTGGAGAATGAAATAGTCTTGGTGGCTTTCTCTTTGTACCAGAAGCTAAATGTTTGGGGATGAGTCCAAACCATCACAATATATTCAACGTGTCAGAGGATTCAACAGAATGCTACAGGAGACATCTTAATAAGCTCTCTGGCCTTTCCTCAAGTCCTACTGTAGTTCCATAACATGCTACATACTGGCCTCCACATTATAAATAAAGCAGACATTCTGACCATAACTTAATGGGAAATATTGACCCAGCCAACAGACAGCCTCTATGGACCCTGGCTTGCCTAAGCATATTGGGCCTAACTCTCACAGCATAAATTGAGAGGTCAGGATAGATGGTGGCTGGGACTCCACCCCACAACAAAGCATTCCTTTCTCTAGCAGACAGAATGTGTAGGCTACAAGCATAACATGTGACCATGATCGGTCTGTGTTTGATAGATGTGTGTTTGTGTGTGTGTCTGTGTCAAGTGACCAAATATAATATAGACTCCCTGCTGCTCTCTGGTGGCAGGATTGAGCATGGAGCAGCAGTGACTCACCATGTCTTTACTGTATAATGGCAGCCAGTCCCGTATTACTCACTACCATGGGCGCAACTTTCACTTGGGACATGTCCCCCCCCACATTCTGAAATTGCATTTTTGTCCCTCCCAGTTTTATCATTGGAATGTGATACAAAACGAGGCTGTGGTGTCCTTTAGGACCATGCGGATGCCTCCGAGCTGTCGGGTAGGCTGTTTGGAGTGTTTATCTGACTGGATTATATATATATATATATATATATATAGATATAGATATAGAGAGAGAGAGATGTGTGTCCCACTTCTAAAACCAAAGTTGCGCCCCTGCTCACTACAATGACCTAAAAGCTCAACTATGAATAACGCAATACATTTTCTCTGTAAGCACTGAACATTCACTTCTGTGAAATGGAAACATTATATGACACTAAAAGTATCGAGTTACACTTTATTTGCCTGAAATTGTGCAATGTCTGTCTAACTGGAATTGTAAGTATTTAAAAATGTCCTACATTATAGCCATGTAGCATAGCGTTTAACTATATTCCTACGTGGTCTGAATACTCTGATCACACAGATCGGTTTCACTAAGGTGTTTTCCCTAGATGCCATAACCTACATTAGAGGCCAGGAGAGGTCTGGTGACAGAGTGAGCCTCGCTGGATGAAAGCCTTATCCTCACCATACAAATAATGCCCCAATTACAACAGTATAATCCAGACTAACACACTGCTTGCCTGCCCTTACCATGCTTGTCTGCCTGCTACTACACACTGGAGCAGTTCTCTTCATCTGTAATCTGATCAAGTGCTGTCAAACGAACCACTATCCCTCCCTTCCCACATCCATCCCCTGCTCTCATCTGTCCCTGATGAATCAATGAAAATGACAACACACCATACCCCAGTCCACACAGCTGGTTCTCCCCTAAACCACTCCCCCACACCATCCTTTTAAAACCAACTTTAAAACACAGTCACCATAGAGATCTGAGAATGGTCTTAAAACTGAAATCTTCAAACCAAAACGACAAATAAAATGCCATCCATAGCTAGAGTACTTTAATATACATTTAGTATGGGCCATCTTCTTCGGGGGATGTTAGCTAGCAAGCAGACACTTTTTAACCATAAAATCACTTTTATTCAAACCAAAAATGTCTCTCTAATAAGTGAAGTATAATTCGATCTCAGAAAATCCCTAGAATTCCTATATAACCAACCATTGAAGTTTTTCTAGACAATGGTTTCAACCATAACGTACCGCAGCATGTTCCCAATAAGCATTTATTCTATCAAGAGAAGAGTTCCTGTAAAGTCCTGAATTTATGCAAATAGTATGTGTGTAGTAGAGGATATTGAATGAACCAGGCTAAGTCATATGGTCCGGTATGGAGGTTGATGCCAACCCCTAACAACACACTTTAAATCCCCTGCCAATACGCCATAAGACATTAACAACATGAGGAAGACCAGGAGGTGGTACCTCACCCCAACAGTCAGGTGATTGGCTGGGCTGGTGTTGGTGTGTGTTTGTGTGTTAACTTAGAACTCGTCGTCCGAGCTGAGCAGCAGGGTCTTCTCGTTGTCGCGGGTGCTGACGGTGCGGGACACAGGCGGGGCAGAGTGACCCTGTTCCAGGGTGGACTGCTGGGTGTACTGCTGGTAGGCTGGGGAGAAGTTATGGATGGCATCCTGGACCATGTCTCCAGGGTTCATTGTCTCCTTCAGGCTGCTGGAGATGCTCTTCATGGGGGCACAGCGACCTGAGAATAGGGGGGTGGAGGAAAGGACAACAGGTAAGAGATAAAATATCAAAAAAGGTCAAGCAGGAGTTGTGTAGTAATTGTGAATAATGTAAAACCTAAACACGGTGTGAAATCACTGCTGGAAGCTTGCTACAGTGGATGTAAAAACAGCAACAAGGACAACCAGTGATTTCACAGAAAGCAAGACAAAAGGAACACAACATTGAACATAGGCTTGTGAGAAGTAGAAAGAAAAGCTGGTGAAGAGACTCAGTGGTAGACCTACCAGACTCTCCATACATAGGAACTGGGCCTTAACGCAGCACAGGGAAAGAGAACGACAAAGGATATGGAAGAATAAAATGACCCAGAGTATACGAAGAGGACGGATGACCAATGAGGGAGTTTATAAAAAGGACGAGGGAAAGGAGGTATTCCAAAAAACAAAGATGAATGAGAGAAGATGATGAAGGGAAATAAAGGAGTATGAAGAGGACAAATTGGGAAACGTGTGTTGAGGGAACAGAGAGAAAAGGGAGTGTGAGTCATTGAAAAGAGAAGACCTGACATCATGTTATAGAGAGAAGATAAATTCTGCTGAATGTGAAAATACTACAGTACCACAGCCCAATGAGCTGGACCAATGTCAAGTAGGTCGATGCCACAGTAAATAATACAGCTAAAACTCAGGTCTCCTTACCCTGAGAGAGAGAGTCAAGCCTCTTGTCCATGTAGATCCTGTATGTGAAGGCATGACGCAGGGCCAGGGAGGCAAAGAACATCTCAATGCAGACTATGAAGTTCTGGTAACCGGCTGCAACCGTTCCCTCTCCCACTGACACCTCGGGTGAGTTGATTTTGGGGATTGCCCCACACTTCTCTAGAATGGCCAGCAACATGCCTGATGGAAAATAAACAGATATTAATAAACAAATACAGATATGTCAAGAATGACTACAGTCCTATAGTATAATGATATTGACTTGGGCATGGATATGATATGAATGACCTCACTCATAATCAATTGCCTACAGTGCTTCAATGACCTAAAAATGTCAATCTGTATTTAGAGGTTTAGTGTGTGTGTGTGTGTGTGTGTGTGTGTGTCTCACCCTGCCAGAAGGAGAGGAAGATAACAGATTTGACCATGAAGAACTTGAGCAGGGGGCTGTAGGGGACCAGCAGGTCCCGGGTGGAGAAATAGAAGAGGAAGAGGGCGTAGAGAGACAGACTCACTGAGATGTTGTAGACGATGGACACATACAGGTACCCACTGTTCACACTGGGGGGACAGACAGGGACAAGACGGTTGATTAGATTTGAGAGTAACCAACATAAGGACAAATCTGTATCACTGTATTTATATTTATCTACACGGAAGCACAGTGTATTTTGGGTAATTAAAAGTCTTATAATAAAATAAACGTCTACGTCTTATAAAGTTTTGGTATGAGATATTCTACGATTGCATAAGAAGAAGCACAGTATCGTACTTGAAGTCTCCGTCGCGGTACTTTCCAAAGGCCTGTAGGATGACTGTGACCATGGCCATGAGGGGTTTGACCACACAGAACTGTAGCGTGGCCTGCTTACAGAACCGCAGGAAACCAATGGAGTAACTCCTCCCCCAAAGACAGCACGTACCGTAAATACAACTAGACCTGGAGACGCAGGAAAACACCTTGTTAAATACAGCATCAGTGTTATGATGTCATTTTATAGTGTTGTGTGAACCAGGTTAAAGTTAGTAGATAAGCGATTCTGGGCACCGCAGTCTGAATAACAAGGATACCATTATTATTTATTTTATTTATTTTTTTAGACATTTAGCAGACGCTCTTATCCAGAGCGACTTACAGTTAGTGAATACATAATTTTTTTTGTTATTTTTTTTTTGTGTATTGTTTTTTTATTTATTTTTCATACTGGCCCCCCCGTGTCGAAGGAGCTTACTGGTGGTTTATCTTAGAATGATTGATAGATAGTAATATGCTGACTTGGGTACAGGGTAATACCATCAAAGAAGGGAGTGCCAAATGATGGTTAACAGATGTTGTTCAAGAAACGTGTAACAGAGGGTATATAAACTGAGAGGTTTTCTTTATCTGTGAGTTCAGAATGGCAAGAGGCAAAGCACTGTCCTTTTGTTAGAACGAACAATGGTACCTATTAAATATTTATATGAACTCCCCAGCTAAGTGTTAAATATCTTCTTGCATCATGAATTACTTGATACCCTAGAAACTCATCATAACAATCAGTTAATGAGATGTTGACCTGGAGATGCAGGAAAACACAGTGTTAAATACAGCATCAGTTAATGAGAGATGTTGACCTGGAGACGCAGGAAAACACTGTGTTAAATACAGCATCAGTTAATGAGAGATGTTGACCTGGAGACGCAGGAAAACACCTTGTTAAATACAGCATCAGTTAATGAGAGATGTTCAACATACACACACAAATAGACTAGACTACACACACACACTAGACACACAACAGAGTGGAAGAAGAGACTCACTGGATAGGTTTTCCTCTGATCTCAGCCATGATGGCGCTCTCTCCTCCCAGGTACTCATAACACAGGCTCAGGAAGTTATAGATGACAAACGCTGCACAGGAGAGACACACACACATCGTCAATAAAGGACCATTTAAGAAGTCAACAACACAGACATTTCAACTTCTCTGACATGTTTTACATCATATATATTGCCCTCCTAATATGGGCATGGAAGAATATCTCAAACCCAGTCCTCTTCCAATCCCCCAAGAGACAAGATAAGTCAATGACTGTCATATCAAAGGCAATGGACACACACACACACACAATCTATTCTCACCTTTGACTGAACCAGACAACCTACATTATGTATCCAGTGGCCTGTCTATGACCTTCTCTGTCTGTATTGCCTCAATGTGACCAGTATGACAGAGATGAGGAAAGGCCCAACCCTGAGGCAGTCACTGGATGACTAATACACCATTGTACTATCTATTAACCCCTGAAGGGGGATTCAAGTGTGTGTTGGGTGTGTAACAGACAGTATGGGAGGGTGTGTGTCAGAGTGTGTGTTGGTGAGTGTATACCTTGTGACTAGGAATATTGCATAAGCCAGACCAGATAAACAGCTGACTCTCTGATAAGGGTGCAGGTTGTCTTCTGTTCTCCTTGTGTGTGTTTGTGTGTGTGTGTGTGTGTGTGTGTGTGCGCCAGCAAGTTTGGTTGAGACCTCATCAGTAGGGCTGCCCTCTGCAGTGAACACGGTTGCTATGCAACAGGTTTTCCCTACCCAGAAATCTGGGCAGGCCTCAGAACAACAAGAGATAGCACTGAGGCAGAGCAGCAGTTAGCCATCTGTCCATGACTCCCACACACTGGGTGAGAAAGTATCACAATACAGCTGATCTCCATGGTGAAGCCATTCAGTTCTGTTCTACGCTAGTCACTTACCCTCATAGCAGTCCCTGACGGTGTCAAAGTAGACGTAGTACTCCTCGTTAGTGAAGAACAGGAGGCTGAGCCAGGAGTCAAAGGCATAGATGGGCACAATGAAGAGGATCCGCACGATGTGTCTCTGCTCGTTAGGAGAACTGTAGTACCGCAGGTGCATGTAGATCTGAGAGAGAGAGAGAGAGAGAGAGAGAGAGAGAGAGAGAGAGAGAGAGAGAGAAGGGGAAAGATGGATGGATAGGATATATGTACAAAACATTAGGAACACCTTCCTAATATTGAGTTGCACCCCCTTTTGCCCTCAGAACAGCCTCAATTCACCAGGCCATGAACTCTACAAGGTGTCAAAAGTGTTCCACAGGGATGCTGGCCCATGTTGACTCCAATGCTTCCCACAGTTGTCAAGTTGGCTGGATGTCCTTTGAGTGGTGGACCGTTCTTGATACACACAGGAAACAAGAGCGTGGAAAAACACAGCAGCCTTGCAGTTCTTGACACACTCAAACCGGTGCGCCTGGCACCTACTACCATACCTCGTTCAAAGGCACTTAAATCTTTTGTCTTGTCCATTCACCCTCTGAATGGCACACACACACAATCCATGTCTCAATTGTCTCAAGGCTTAAAAATCATTCTTTAACCTGTCTCCTCCCCTTCATCTACACTGATTGAAGTGGATTTAACAAGTGACATCAATAAAGGATCATAGCTTTCACCTGGATTCACCTGGTCAGTCTATCATGGAAAGGTGTTCCTAATGTTATGTCCACTCAGTGTATATAGAGAGAGGAGGGTGTGGATAAAGATATTTTACAGGACACAAGAGCAGCATTCCATCATTTCTCAACCTGTTAATAATTAACATCCTGCCTCTGAGGGAGATAGGAATGGGAGTGAGCCGCGGGAATTCACAGCAGAACACACTGATGTCTACACTATCCTTGGCATCTTTTCAGTTTAGCTCCATTTTCTCTCCCCAAACAAAGCTTGTAAGAAGCCACCAGACTCTTATTCCAGACAAAAGGACAGGTAGCCTTTCACACGGTGGGTGTGTGCAGTATGTGTTGACTTGTTCAGTTAAACAAACAGGGATTGTGTGTTGTTGCTAGGCAACCTGTGCTCTCTGTGCACTGAGCAGATGCATCTATTCTTCCAGCATCACCCCAGGTGGAACCTGTAGTTACATGACCCTCCCTCCCTCCCTCCCTCCACTGTAGGGCCTACAGGGACAGACAACACCTAGACACCCGAGTCGGGCACTGCCAAATGTCGACAGAAACACCAAATGGTGTTTATTTTTAGTGGATTGAGTGTGTGTTTTGTTTTGAGACGTGGGAAGTGTGTGTGTCTGTGTGTGCATTATATTACCTGGTGGCAGGTGAAGAGCAGGGCGGTCCAGACGAAGAAGCCCGACACGGCCTGGGCAGCAGGGGTCATCAGAAAGGTGGGCTGGTCTGAGGTCAGCAGGGGGGCCTCTGGGAACCAGGAGATGTTTGGGCCCGGGGGGGCCATGGTGGGAGGGGGACCAGGGGCCACACCCAGGGGGGAGTCCTCTCCAACCCCGACACCTAGTCGCTCAGACAGGGGCACGTCACGCCTCCACAGACGACTCATCTGGAGACAAGGGAACAGAGAGAACGCATGTCCTTTATGTCTACATTAATGATACTGTGCATAAACAGTGCAGACATACAGTCTGATACGTTCCAGTAATACATGTAGAAAGCAGAGCGTTATCGGAAATACTGTAACCATCAACAACAGTTATCGATACTGTCATTTAAATTGATGCGAGCATCTGATAAAGGAAGAGCAGATACAAGGAGTCAGGTGTGACGTACTGTTTACTGAAGAGAGTCAGAGAGAGAGAGAGAGAGAGACCACTGTATAATCTCTGATAGTCAAACCAGCGTTTCTCCCTACTACTAACTGTATAGACAGGGTGTTCGCTCCTGCCTAAAATAATTTGATTTCTTTTGACAGTTTTGGGTTAAACAGGCTGATCTGAAAGCATGTACTGTATCATTCAACTTGTCTGTTAACTACAGTATTTTCCTATGGAAGACCAAACACAAGGAAAATACAAAAATGGCATTTATAAACATTGCCATTTTGTCATCATGAATCCCTATTTCAAACAGAATTTAGTATCAGATGTTTGTATTGCCAGCATCTACCAGGCGATAACAACCTCAACGTCAGTTGGTGCTGTCATTGACGTTATCATAGAAAAATAAGAAATACTGTCCACTTCAAAAGGCCACAAACAATAACACACGTGAGACTAAAAAAGCCAGCTATGACTCATAATGCCTTTCAAGCAAAATCAGAGACCGCAACAGTGGACAGCACATAGAGGACGTATCTAAACTGACCTTTCAGGGCTTGGCTGCCAAACCGCATAGCAACCTTAAGTCACATTAACAGCTGCATAGCACGAGCCGTGACAAACTGAGGCAGTATTTGGTTGTTTCCACACACACACACACAGGCATGCAAACAAACACACAGGTGTGTGTGTGAGAGAGATATATGGGGTCATTTGTATTGGTTTGCAGAGAATCAGCAGATCAACATGCAGAATAGGGCTGCATCAGCGGGTAGACAGAGGGACACACACACACGACTGGGAAGTGAAGTTCTGCTGAGGCCAAGGGACATTGTGTTTCATTTGAAAGGCAAAAGGGCAGTCATTGAATGATGTGGCTGCCTGACAGACTGACTGACAGGTGGAGGGACATATAAAGCATATTATAAAGCAACAGATGGAAGTGAGTGTGTGAGTGAGGTAATAATATTAGGTAATGATATGGGTTACAGGCAGCTAGTGGCTGAAAAATGAGGGGAAAAATTGAATTCCGCCGGTAGATGATGCATGGCAGCAACAAGAAAAATAAAGGCTATTCTTTTGTGTGTTGGGGGCGGCGGCGCTGATTATAATTATTTTGCCCGCACTACAGACGGCTATATAGGTCCGCTAATACAGGACTAGTAAAGGCCCAGTGCACTACTTTTGTAAAAAAAAACAGTATATATACACTGAACAAATATATAAAACGCAACATATTTCATGAGCTGAAACAAAAGATCCCAAAACATTTCCATATGCACAAAAATATTATTTCTCTCAACTTTTGGGTACAATTTGTTTACATCCCTTTTGGGTGCATTTCTCCTTTGCCAAGATAATCCATCCACTTGACAGGTGTGCCATATCAAGAAGCTGATTAAACAGCATGCTCAATACACAGGTGCACCTTGTTCTGGGGACAATGAACAGCCACTCTGAAATGTGCAGTTTTGTCACACAACACAATGCCACAGATGCCTCAAGTTTTGAGGGAGCGTGCAATTGGCATGCTGACTGCAGGAATGTCTACCAGCGCTGTTGCCAGACAATTGAATGTTAATTTCTCTACCATAAGCCTTCTCCAACGCCATTTTTGAGAATCTGGCAGTATGTCCAACCGGCCTCACAACCGAAGACCACGTGTATGGCGTCGTGTGGGCGAGCGGTTTGCTGATGTCAACATTGTGAACAGAATGCCCCATGGTGGCTGTGGGGTTATGGTATGGGCAGGCATAAGCTACGGACAATGAACACAATTGCATTTTACCTGAGGCCCATTGTCGTGCCATCCATCCGCCGCCATCACCTCATGTTTCAGCATGATAATGCATGGCCCCATGTCGCAAGGATCTGTACACAATTCCTCGAAGATGAAAATATCCCAGTTCTTCCATGGCCTGCATACTCACAAGACATGTCACCCATTGAGCATGTTTGGGATGCTCTGGATCGACGTGTACGTGTTCCAGTTCCCGACAATATCCAGCAACTTCACACAGCCGTTGAAGAGGAGTGGGACAACATTCCACAGGCTACAATCAACAGCCTGATCAACTCTATGCGAAGGAGATGTGTCACGCTGCATGAGGCAAATGGTGGTCACACCAGATACTGACTGGTTTTCTGATCCACGCCCCTACCTCTTTTGTTAAGGTATCTGTGACCAACAGACACATATCTGTATTCCCAGTCATGTGAAATCCATAGATTAGGGACTAATGAATTTATTTCAATTTACTGATTTACTTATACATATGAACTGTAACTCAGTAAAAATCTTTGAAATTATTGCATGTTGCATTTATATTTTTGTTCAGTATATTAAAAAAAAAAAATTCTTCCGATTTTTCAGGGGGGGTGCTGCAGCATCCTCAGCACCCCTACTTCCTGAGGCTATGCCAACCAGCAGTAGGCAACAGCAGCCATTAATGCTAAGAGACTAAACAACTGGCAGAGAAACATAGTAGTAGCCACTAATGCAGTAAATAAGCACAACTCGACACTTCGTAACAATTAATGAATGGCAGGCAGGTAAGCAGGCGCATAGACAGACTGTCTGTCACTCTCACCTTTGCAGCTGATTGCCGAAAAGTAAACTTGAATCAAGATGACGTCTGTCTGAAAAATAGATTTTTTTGTTGTTGCTGAAACCATATACAAGTCATTGACTGAAACAATAATGTTTATGCAAATTACATTTTAACGGGTAGACAACTAGAAACTGTTGTTATTTTAGACATGACTTTCATCTGTTTTATTTCCCTTCAAATGGGCAAGTAAAATCACTTTACCTATAATCGATTGTTGGTTTCAGAGCAAACTTCGGCCGGCGCAATTTTGGAGACAGAAACAAGATAGAAATGGATTTAATTCCACAAAGATGCCGTCGTTACTCCGACATCCATGTTTATTTTCCAGTCCTGTTCGACTAGAAATCTTTCCGTTCTGATCCAAGAGTTAAATCCGTTTTAAAAAATCTCAGTTTAAGGTTTGCATCTAATTTGAGTGTGTCTTCGTCTTTTCTTCATTCTGTTACGAACAATACAGGTAACATATCAGTTTTTCCCTGCTCTGTAAACTCCGTCATTCCTTTCTCCCCTTTTTCCTACCTCGGCGTTTGCCACACAGACGGAATCCACTAGGATTAGCAACAGTAGATCAACTCAGTTTGGTCCTCTCCATAGTGTACGGTAGGCTCTCTCGAATGAGATGTAGCCTCCTGTTTGCACCAATCACAGCCAATGAACAGCGAGGATCAGGAAGTGGATGGGGTCGTGATTTGTAGCAATGCGCATGCGATCTGCTACTTTTTTTTTTGTGTCATTTAGCAGACGCTCTTATTCAGAGCGATTTACAGTTAGTGAGTGTATACATTATTTTAAAAAAATTCATACCCCCCGTGGGAATCGAACATCTATTTTGAGTCGAATCGCATTTACGGCCTGATCTGATCGTAGGTCAGTTTATTTTTCCATTATTTTTCATTTTTTCATTATTATCTAAGAACTATCTAAATTACTTCTAAAATAAATTACCTACAAACACAAACAGACAATATTATAAGTTGTGCACATCTTTATTGACTCAAAATATACCCCCCCCCCCATGAATATAATCGGTATGAACTGTAGTTTAGGCCTATCCCATGAACTGTGTCCACAAGTGTTGATTCTTGTTTTATAGCATGTGATTTACATCGTTATATCTATCTATGTATTTATACACTATATGTGGTGACGCTGTGCTGTTGAGTTTGAGATGCAACAAGACAACTTTACGAAAAGGGACACAATAAAATTATTATTATTATTATTATTATTATACACAATATTGTTGTAATAAAGTCTAACCATGGTAAAGAAATTTATAAGATATCAGTCCACCCAAACAACCATATTCCATCTTTATTATTATCTGCCCTGGCCCATGCAGGTGTATGCTTACCTTTCATCTGACTCCTTCTGCACCCAACCAAGCCCTCCAGCAGGTCAATAAATCTCTGGCTCACATTTTGGCTTTACACAAAAACATATTTACAGAGATAAAAAAATAAAATCCAACCTCTTCATTTCTCCCATGCTCCTCCTCACATCTCCAGGATAATACGGCTTGTTGACTTATTATCATAATAACCAAGACCACAGTATTCTTGCTTTTGCAAAGCCTGGCACGTGAGGTTATTGTCTTGACTTGACTTAAAAACACCAGAACAAAAACGATCAATTGAGTAAATAACTAATTTCCTTCCTTAATGATAAGAAGGTACTTTATTACATGGTCCACCATCATTTGAAGGGATATTATTAGCTCTCTGTTGTTGACTAATGTAATACAATACTGTGAGCACACACACACTGTAACACTCTGGCTCCGGGACTTTTGGATTTGAGCCAGGGTGTATTTGTTTTGTTGGGTATTTGTTGTGGGGTTGGTTGTAAGGGTGTATTCGGTTGGTTGTGTTTTGGGTGTATTTCTATGTTGGTAGTTCTGTTGTGTGTATTTCTAGGTTTGGTCATTGACTCCCAATCGGAGGTAACGAGTGTCAGCTGTCGGCTCGTTATCTCTGATTGGGAGCCATATTTATTCTGTATGTTTTCTTGTGGGCATTGTGGGTTATTGTTCCTGTTTAGTCTTTGTCACTATTGGACTTCACATTCGTCGCTTTGATTTGTTGTTTTTGGTTGCTTTAAGTAAATAAAGTCAACATGTTCTTTTCACTCGCTGCGCCTTGGTCTCCTTCACTCCTCGACGACCGTGACACACA